CCCGCGCAGCGAGCGGGACAAGCTGGAGAACGTGCTGCGGGGGCTGACGCCGCGCAAGTCGGAGATCGGCGACGCGATGGCCTTCTGCCTGCAGCACGCCGAGGCGGCCGAGGAAGTGGTGGAGTGCATCGCCGAGTCTCTGTCCATCCTGCAGACACCGCTGCCCAAGAAGGTGCCGGCAAAACCGCCCACCCCCCTCCCTCCTGGCCACCCCTACCTACCTCCCTCCCTCCCTGCCTCCACTCCCCTCCCTGCCTCCACTCCCTCCTGCCCACTCCCTCCTGCCTCCTGCCCACCCCTCCTGCCCACCCCTCCCTCCTGGCCACCCCTACCTACCTACCTCCCCTCCCTCCCTGCCTCCACTCCCTCCTGCCCACCCCCTCCTGCCCACCCCCTCCCTGCCTCCTGCCCACCACTCCCTCCTGCCTCCACTCCCTGCCTCCCTGCTGCCCACTCCCTGCCTCCCACCCCTCCCTCCCACCCACCCCTCCCTACCTCCCACCCCTCCCTCCCACCCCTCCCTCCCACCCACCCACCCCTCCCTCCCACCCACCCCTCCCTACCTCCCACCCCTCCCTCCCACCCCTCCCTCCCACCCACCCACCCCTACCTCCCACCCTCCCTCCCACCCTCCCACCCACCCCTTCCACCCACCCCTCCCTCCCACCCCTCCCTCCTGCCCACTCCCTCCCTGCCTCCATCCCTCCCACCCACCCACCCCTCCCTCCCACCCCTCCCTCCCACCCACCCACCCCACCCTCCCACCCCTCCCTGCCTCCCTCCCACCCACCCACCCCTCCCTCCCACCCCTCCCTCCTGCCCACCCCTCCCACCCCTCCCTGCCTCACTGCCTCCCTACCTCCCACCTCTCCCTCCTGCCTCCCTCCCTCCCTCCCTCTGCTTGTGTGTCTGTCTGTGTGTCTCCGTGTCTGTGTTTTATCTCTCTCTCGAACTTAGTTCTACCTGATGACGGTCGCCTTGTGTTGCAATCGAAACGTCGTACTCTATTTATTTTCTTTTTACCTGACTTTACCGAAAGGACCAAAGAGTGTTTACCTTTATTGTACTTGGCACGCCTATCATGTGCTTGTGCAACTGTGTTCGCTGTTGTGAGCGGTGGGGCAGCGGTTAGCGCTACGCTGCGCTATGTACCCAGCGACCCGGGTTCGATTCCCGCTCACGGCCACGACGATTATCGGGCCTCCCCTAGGTCGACATCGCCACTGGGGAGACAAAGGCGGTCGGGCGTGGTGCTGGCCACCCACTCCGTCGTGTCCCATAGGTGCTCGCTTAACAGCACTTGCCCCCACAGTCTGTTAAGGCTACACGGGGGATCTTTATCTTTTTTTTTTGCCGTTGTGACGTTCTTACCCCGTGCCCCTCGACTGGATATTTGTAACGAAAGAGCTTCACGGCTCATCGGATTTCTCCTCCTTCCTGCTGCTGTTATGAACACAAGACTGGCAATCTGTCTTCCCCAGATCGCCCGTCTCTACGTTGTGTCGGACATCCTGCACAACTCGTGCGCGAAGGTCGCCAACGCCTCCTACTACAGGAAATAGTGAGTACACGCAGCACGATAATTGGTTGTTTACCCTTCTATCTGGCAACAAAACTGACACCTTTTTACAAGGAGTCATGTTTGCATAGACCGCAATACCTGCAGTCATAATGCAAACAAAAGACATAACTCTGATAATGTGCACTGTCCTTGAAGTTGATTGGTCCACACCAGAGACAGCTTTCCTTAGAGCCTAGTCTCACATGGGTTGGACAGTGCACATTATCAGAGTTATGTCTTTTGTTTGTATTATGACTGAAGGTATTACGGTTATGCAAACATGACTCCTTGTGAAAAGGTGTCAGTTTTGTTGCCAGATAGAAGGGTAAAAAACAATTATCATATTTTTACTGGCAAATGAGGTTCCCATAGTGTACACGCAGCACGGTTGGCTACGTACGGTACGAAAGGATTTCAACACATACGGTGGCTAGGAGATGTTAATGACCAGTAGTGATAGGTTTTTACCCTTTCAACTGGTACAAAAACTGACACCTTTATACAAGGCATCATGTTTGCAATAACCACAACACAAGCAGTCAAAATGCAAACAAAAAGAAACAACTCTGATGATGATGATAATGATATGCACTGTCCTTGACGTTGATTGGTCCACACCCGAGACAGCTTTTCTTAGAGCCTAGTCTCCATTGGTGTTGGACCAGATGACGCCAAAAGGCGTACAACAGCTGTCATTTGTGACAGCCAGATTCGCTTCGGTTGGGGCCTTACCTGGTAAAGTCGAAACCATTAAGTTTGTTGGGACCTTGTGGGTCACTGGTTGTATGCGAGTTTCCGGGTCTGTGGGTCTCTTTGCATATGGGTCTCTGTGGGTCTGTAGCTCAGTGGAGGCCTTACCTGCTAAAATAAAAATTAGGTTAAGTTCACGTACGTATATACGTACTGGTCGTTGCGTATGTCAGCTGAGCTCGCAAAGCCACCACCACTACCGCCACCACTGGCACCATCGCCACTGCCACCACCGCTACCACCACTGTCACCACCGCTATGACCATGACCACCATCACCGCCATCACCATCACCGCCACCACCACAACCATCACCGCTACCACCACCGTCAATGCCACCGCCGCCACCATCACCACCGCCGCCGCCACCACCACAACCATCACCGTCACACCACCACCATCGCCACCGCCGTTCACCATTGCACGCTCTCGGCACTCCTCCATCTCGATGTCCCCTCTGCCAGCTTCGAGGCCAAGCTGCCGCAGATCTTCGCCGACATCCACGAGGTCTACAAGTCCATCCAAGGGCGCCTGCAGGCCGAGCAGTTCAAGGTGCGGAGTCTCTCGCTGACCTGTCGTGCAGCCTGGGGTGTGGGGGGGTGTGTGTGTGTGCGCGTGTATGTGCGTGTGTTTGTCTGTGTGCGTGTGTGCGCGTGCATGTGTGTGCGCGCGTGTGCGCGTCTTGTGTGTGGGCGTGAGTGTGTCTGTGTGTGCGCGTGTGTGTCTGTCTGTGTGTTTGAGTGTGTGTGTCTGTGTACGTGTGTGTCTGTGTGCGTGTGTGTGTCTGTGTGCGTGTGTGTGTGTCTGTGTGTGTATGTGTGTGTCTGTGTGTGCGTGTATGTGGGGAGCGGTGGTGTAGCGGTTAGCGCTGCGCTAGCGCTACGAACCCGGCGACCCGGGTTCGATTCCCGCTCACAGCAAACACAAGTGACGATTATCTGAACCGGTCCTGGGCCTCCCCTATGTCGACTCAGCCTCAAATGAGTGCCTGGTGCGGTGTGTAAACATCGTCACTGGGGAGACAAAGGCGGCCGGGTGTGGTGTTGTCCACCCACCCCCCCGTGTGCCGTGCCGGCTTTCATAGGTGCTCGCTAACAGCACTTGCCCCTACAGTCTGTTCAGGCTATACGGGGGGATCTTTATCTTTGGTTTCAGAGGTTCAGGGGATGTGCTGTGAACCACCTGTACATAGCCACGGTTGGCTACGTACGGTACGAAATAAGTTCAACAAACACATACAACACGGTTGGCTACGTAGCCTCAACAGACTGTGCTGTGAGGCTGTTAGCGAGTCACAGAGCCGGCACAGTGGCACACGTGGAGGGGGTGGGTTGTGGGTGGCCAGCGCCGTGCCCGGCCGCCTTTGTCTCCCCCAGTGGCGATGAACACGGAACGAGGGGAAAACGAAAGCTCACGACATCTCTCTCCCTCCCCCCTACTGTGCCTGCCGCCCTCAACGCTTCTCACGTGCACTGTGCTGCTACTGCTACTGCTGCTACTACTGCTGCTGCTATTACTACTGCTGATACTACTACTGCTGATACTACTACTGCTGCTGATACTACGACTACTGCTGCTGATACTACTGCTGCTACTGCTGATACTGCTGATACTACTATTGCTGATACTACTACTACTGCTGCTGCTGCTACTGCTGCTGCTACTACTGTCGCTATTACTACTGCTGCTACTACTGCTGATACTGCTGATGCTACTACTGCTGATACTACTACTGCTGATACTACTACTGCTGCTACTACTGCTGATACTACTACTGCTGATACTACTACTGCTGATACTACTACTACTGCTGATACTACTACTGCTGATACTACTACTGCTGATACTACTACTGCTACTTCTACTGCTACTGCTGCTACTACTACTGCTGCTGATACTACTGCTGCTGCTGCTACTACTGCTGCTGCTACTACTGCTGCTACTACTACTGCTGCTGCTACTACTTCTGCTGCTACTACTGCTGCTACTTCTGCTGCTACTACTACTGCTACTTCTGCTACTACTGCTGCTACTTCTGCTGCTACTACTGCTGCTACTTCTGCTACTACTGCTGCTGCTACTGTTACTGCGCTACTACTGCTGCTCCTGCTGCTGCCGCTTCGTGTGTGGTGTGTTTGCGTGCGTGCATGTCATGGTGTGTTTGCGTGCGTGCATGTCATGGTGTGTTTGCGTGCGTGCATGTCATGGTGTGTTTGCGTGCATGCATGTCGTGGTGTGTTTGCGTGCGTGCCGTGCGTGCAGCAAAAGGTGATGTCGTGTTTCCGCGCGTGGGAGGACTGGGCCGTGTACCCAGACTCGTTCCTCATCAAGCTGCAGAACGTCTTCCTGGGACTGGTGCGCATCAACGACGACGGCAAGGAAGTCTCCGTGGTACCGCGCCCGCACACACGCACACACACACACGCACACACACAGACGCACATAGACACACACACACAGACGCACACACAGACACACACAGACGCACACAGACACACACAGGCGCACACGCACACAGAAGCACACGCACACAGGCGCACACGCACACAGATGCACGCACACACGCACGCACACAGACGCACACGCACACAGACGCACACGCACACAGACGCACACGCACACAGACGCACACACGCACGCACACAGACACACACGCACGCACACACACAGACGCACGCACACAGACGCACGCACACAGACGCACACATTGCACGCACACAGACGCACGCACGCACACAGGTACGCACGCTCACACACACGCACGCACAGACGCACACACGCACGCACACAGGCGCGCACATTGCACACACGCACGCACGCACACATTGCACACACGCACGTTCCACGCGCACACACAGACGCACGCACACGCGCACACACGGGCATTGCACCTTGATTAGTTCAGTCGTTCGTTCGTCAATTAGTTCCTGCATTCATTCATTCATGACCAAAATAAGTCGTAGTGGGGTGGGACACAAAGCTCTTATTGAGCCGTGCAGACTCACAGACCCCCCCCTCTTCTCCCCTCCCCACTCCTCCCCCTCCTCAACCCTTTCCCACTCCCCCTCCTCACTCCCCCCTTCCCATCCCCCCCTCCCCACTCCTCCTCCCCACCTCCCCCCCACTCCTCTCCCTCCCCTTTGCTTTCCCCCCCATCCCCTCACCCCCCAATCCCCTCACCCCCTCCCCACTCCCCCCTCTCCACCTCCCCCCCCCCTCCACCTCCCCCCCCACTCCTCCCCCCCCATCCCCTCACCGCCCCCCCCCTCTCCACCCCCCACTCCTCTCCCCCCCCATCCCCTCACCGCCCCCCCCCTCCTCTCCCCCCCCCATCCCCTCACCGCCCCCCCCTCTCCACCTCCCCCCCCCCACTCCTCTCCCCCCCCACCCCCTCCCCCTCTCCCCACTCCCCCCTCTCCACCTCCCCCCCCCCACTCTCCCATCCCCCCTCCCCACTCCCCCCCCCCTACCCCCTCTCCACCCCCCTCCCCACTCTCTCCTCCCCATCCCCTCACCCCACTCCCCCTTCCCCACCTCCCCCCCCACTCCTCTCTTCCCCCTCTCCCCCTGCCCCCCCCCCCCCCCCCCAGGCCATGGAGGACGATGGAGACCCGCCCCCCGCCGCCGGTGCCATCCCCCTGGGCGCGTTGCCCCTACTGAGCGGCGCCGGCGGCGGCGGTGGTAGCGCCGCCGCCGCCACCGTGGCCGCCTCGCTGCTGATGAGCCTGGGGGTAACGATGACGACGATGGCGGCGGCGGCGGGGGCGGAGGAGGTGGACGGGGCCCCCCTTGACGACGACGACGTGGACGGGGCGCCCCTGGAGGAGGAGGAGGAGGGGGGTGGAGGGGAGGGGCCGTCCCGGGCGGGGGGCGCCGGGCCGCTGGACGGGGCCCCTCTGGACGATCTCGACGGGCTGCCCATGCAGGCCGGGGACGATATCGACGGGCTGCCCCGTACGGCGCTCGCTCACTCGCTCGCTACTACACTAGCTAGCACACTAACTAGCACACTAACTAGCACACTAGCTAGCACACTAACTAGTTCACTACCACACTAGCTAGCACACTAGCTAGCACACTAACTAGTTCACTATCACACTCACTACCACACTAGCTAGCACACTCGCTACTACACTAGCTAGCACACTAACTAGCACACTAACTAGCACACTAGCTAGCACACTAACTAGTTCACTACCACACTAACTACCACACTAGCTAGCACACTCGCTACTACACTCCTACACTCACTACTACACTCACTACTACACTCACTACCACACTAGCTATCACACTAACTAGCACACTAGCTACCACACTAGCTATCACACTAACTACCACACTCGCTACCACACTAGCTACCACACTAACTAGCACACTAGCTAGCACACTTCTACACTCACTACCACACTAACTAGCTCACTCACTACCACACTAACTAGCACACTAACTACTTCTCTACCACACTCACTACTACACTAGCTAGCACACTCACTAGCACACTCACTACTACACTCACTCCTACACTCACTACTACACTCACTACTACACTCACTACTACTACACTCACTACTACACTCACTACTACACTCCTACACTCACTACTCCACTCACTAGCTCACCACTACACTCACTAGTTCACTACTACACTCACTGCCACACTCACTACTACACTCACTACTACACTCACTACTACACTCACTACTACACTCCTACATTCCTACACTCACTACTACACTCACTACTCCACTCACTACTACACTCCTACACTCACTAGTACACTCACTACTACACTCACTACTACACTCCTACACTCACTACTACACTCACTACTACACTCCTACATTCCTACACTCACTACTACACTCACTACTACACTCACTATGACATCACGACAACAACACTCACCCACACGCTCACCCACCCACTCGCCCACCCACACACTCACCCATACGCTCACCCACCCACACACCCACACACTCATTAACGCACCCACTCACTCACCCACACACTCACCCACACACTCACCCACACACTCATTAACGCACCCACTCACTCACCCACACACTCACTCGCGCACTCACACACCCACTCACCCATCCACACATTTACGCACTCGCTCGCTCGCCCACTCACGCACCCGCTCACTCGCCCACACGCTAACGCACCCACTCGCTCACTCGCCCACTCGCTCACCCTCCGCTCACCGGGTGAGCGCTGCTGCTGATTGCTGTTGTTGTCGTGGTTATTGTTGTTTCGATTTAAAGCTTTCGTGACTGCAGGAATTCATCTTCTTGGTTCTTTCAGGTAAAGTCACGTAGAAGGCAAATAATAAATAATAAAATAAAACATAATAAAATACAATTCACACGACGTTTCGGCCACAACGCAAGCAGCCGTCATCAGGGAAGAACAGGTCTTTAGGAAAGACAGCGTCTGAATGAACACCAGACGCTGTCTTTCCGACAGACCTGTTCTTCACCTGAGGACGGCTGCTTGCGTTGTGGCCGAAACGTCGTGTGAATTGTATTTTATAATGTTTTATTTATTATTTATTATTTCCCTTCTACGTGACTTTACCGAAAGAACCAAGAAGATTGTTGTTGTTGTTGTTGTCTTTATTGTTGTTGTCGTTATTGTTGTCGTTGCTGTAGTGGACGATGCTCTCCCCAAGAAGCCCGTTCTGCCCATCGCGTCGTCCAAGTGGGAGCGCGTGGACGACCTGGACACGGACACCACCCGTAAGATCCTCCACGTCCACCACCACCACCACCACGTCCACCATGTCCACCACGTCCACCACCACCACATCCACCACCACCACGTCCACCACCACGTCCACCACGTCCTAGCACCACCACGTCCACCACCACCACGTCCACCACCACCACGTCCACGACCACCACGTCCACCACCACGTCCACCACCACGTCCACCACCACCACCACGTCCACCACCACCACCACGTCCACCACCACCACCACCACCACGTCCACCACCACCACCACCACGTCCACCACCACCACGTCCACCACCACGTCCACGTCCACCACCACGTCCACCACCACGTCCACCACGTCCTAGCACCACCACGTCCACCACCACCACGTCCACCACCACCACGTCCACCACCACCACGTCCACCACCACCACGTCCACCACCACCACGTCCACCGCCACGTCCACCTCCACGTCCACCACCACGTCCACCACCACGTCCACCACCACGTCCACCACCACCACCACCACCACGTCCTAGCACCACCACGTCCACCACCACGTCCACCACACGTCCACCACCACGTCCACCATCACGTCCACCACCACGTCCACCACCACCACGTCCACCACCACCACCACCACGTCCACCAGCATGACCACCACGTCCACCACGTCCACCACCACGTCCACCACCACGTCCACCACGTCCTAGCACCACCACGTCCACCACCCTAGTCACCACCACCACGTCCACCACCACCACGTCCACCACCACCACGTCCACCACCACCACGTCCACCGCCACGTCCACCGCCACGTCCACCAACACGTCCACCATCACGTCCACCACCACGTCCACCACCACCACCACCACCACGTCCTAGCACCACCACGTCCACCACCACCACGTCCACCACCACGTCCACCACCACGTCCACCACCACCACCACGTCCACCACCACCACGTCCACCACCACCACCACCACGTCCACCACCACCACGTCCATCCACCACCACGTCCACCACCACCACGTCCACCACCACCACCACCACGTCCACCACCACCACCACGTCCATCACCACCACGTCCACCACCACCACCACGTGCACCACCACCACGTCCACCACCACCACGTCCACCATCATCACCTCCACCACCACCGGTTTGGTAGCACAGCACGGCGCTAACCGCTCCCCCGCCCCCCCCCAGGCCGCTCCCCCGCTCCGTCGGGCAGCAAGAGGGACGACGACTCGGACGATGCCAGCGGCGGCAATGTTGCCGCCGCGGGCGGCAAGTTGCCGCCGGGTTTTGCCACCACGGCCGCCGCCTCTTCCTCCTCCTCCGCCGGCAGTCCCAGCGGAGGTCCCGTCGGCTCCGCTGGGGGCGCTGGCGGCGGCGGCGTCGGCGACCAGGGCAAGCCGGGTCAGGGTGGCGCCGTTGGTTCCGGTTCGTCGGTCAACGATGAGGCCGCACAGAAGTCGCTGCTCAAGTCCCTGGAGGTGTCGGAGGAGAAGAGAGCCAAGCTGAGGGAGATTGAGGTGTGTTGAAGCTCGCCGGTGGTGGGTGGTGGTGGTGGTTGTTGTTGTTGTAGATTTGAAGCTTTCGTGACTGCTGCAAGGATTCATATTCTTGGGTTTTTTCGGTAAAGTCACGTAGGTCGATGAAATTATCGATCACGACGTTTCGATCGCAACGCAAGCAACCGTCATCATCTTCTTCTTGGTTCTTTCGGTAAAGTCACGTAGAATGGAAATAATAAAATAATAAAAATAAAACATAATAAGATAATTCTCACGACGTTTCGGCCACAACGCAAGCAGCCGTCCTCAGGTGAAGAACAGGTCTGTCGAGAAGACAGCGTCTGAATGACACACCCCAGGCTTGGAGCGTCTATTTAAGCTGGGAGGGTGGAGGAAGAGCGCCTTGACAAAATAATTTGCATATCAAGAGGAATGTTGACAAATGCAGATATGCGATTAGTACTACTTGTGAAATCTCATATCTGCATTTCCCATAAATATGCTAATTCCTCTTGATATGTAAATTATCTTGTCAAGGTGCTCTCCCCCCCTCCAACCCAGCTTTAAATAGACGCTCCAAGCCTGGGGTGTGTCATTCAGACGCTGTCTCCCCCCGACAGACCTGGTCTGGCCTGAGGACGGCTGCTTGCGTTGTGGCCGAAACGTCGTGAGAATTATTTTATTATGTTTTATTTTTATTATTTTATTACTTCCCTTCTACGTGACTTTACCGAAAGAACCAAGAAGATGAATCCCTGCAGTCACGAAAGCTTTAAATCGAAATATTATTTCTTCCTTCCAATGATTACTGAGCCAGAATACATTAAATATACGCTGCCAAGCTTGGTGGTGTTCATTAAGACGCTGTCTTTCCGACAGACCTGTTCTTCACCTGAGGACGGCTGCTTGCGTTGTGGCCGAAACGTCGTGATAATTATTTTATTATGTTTTATTTTTATTATTTTATTACTTCCCTTCTACGTGACTTTACCGAAAGAACCAAGAAGATGAATCCCTGCAGTCACGAAAGAAGCTTTAAATCGAAATTCAATCGTCATCAGTTTGCTGGCTTCAGCAGTTTCCCTGCTGTGATTGTCTCTATTATTTTTTCTACCCTACGTGAACTTTACCGAAAGAACCAAAGAGTATAGGTATGTAGTCTATTAATTCTAGATTTGAAGCTTTCGTGACTGCAAGGATTCATATTCTTAGGTTTTTTTGGTAAAGTCACGTAGGTAAAAAAAATTAAAATTAATAAAAGTAAAATAAAAATAAAATAAAAATCACGACGTTTCGGCGGCAACACAAGCTTCCGTCTTCAGGTGGAACAGTCACAGCACGATAGCTGTATCAAGTGATTAATTTTTTTTTATCTACGTGACTTTACCGAAAAAAACCTAAGAATATGTTGTTGTTGAGTTGCTGGGTTGTTGAGTTTGCTGGGTGGTGCTGGCCACCCACCCCCCCCCCCCCCGTGCACCGTACCGGCCTTCATAGGCGTTCGCTAACAGCACTTGCCACTTGCCCCCCCAACAGTCTGTTGAGGCTACACGGGGAGGGATCTTTATCTTTATTCTTAGGTTATTTCGGTAAAGTCACGTAAGTGAAAAAATTTTATTAATAAAAAATAAAACAATAATACAAATCACGACGTTTCGGAGGCAACACAAGTCTCCGTCATCAGCGGGACCGTCACAGCCAGATTTGCTGCATCAAGTGAGGCAGGGATTCCACAGCAAATCTGGCTGTGACGGTCCCACCTGATGACGGAGACTTGTGTTGCCTCCGAGACGTCGTGATTTTTATTATTATTTTATTTTACTTTTATTAATTGTAATTTTTCACCTACGTGACTTTACCGAAAAGCCTAAGAGTATGAATCTTTGCAGTCACGAAAGCTTCAAATCTAGAAGTAGCGATGATTGCTGCTGCTGTTGTGTGGGTCTAACCTATGGGCACCCCCAGTAGCAGCTGTCCGTGCCTGTGCATTGAGTCTGCTGTCGATGCGAGGGGCATGATGATCGCCATTATACTTCAAGCCGATCGAGTGATTGTGCGCTGTGAGTCACCACTTATCTATGAATATATTTGTAAGTTTTTTATTCCATCTAGAACAGTGATTCTTAACCTTTTTGGAGGTACTGAACCCCACCAGTATAGTCACGTAATAGGGAAGTAATAAAATAATAAAAATTAAACATAATAAAATAATTCTCACGACGTTTCGGCCACAACACAAGCAGCCGTCCTCAGGTGAAGACCAGGTCTGTCGAGACGACAGCGTCTAAATGAAACACCACCACGCTTGGAGCGTCTATTTAAGCTGCTGGGTTGGAGGGGGGAAGAGCGCCTTGACAAAAGAATCTGCATATCAAGAGGAATTTAGCATATTTATTATTTTATTACTTCCCTTCTACGTGACTTTACCGAAAGAACCAAGAAGATGAATCCCTGCAGTCACGAAAGCTTTAAATCGAAATTGAACCCCACCAGTTTCATATGCGCATTCACCGAACCCTTCATAATTGGAAATATAAAATATGATTTTTATCAAATTCAAAACATAGGTATATGTTTTACTGGTGCACAATCATATGAGTCGGGTGTGTGTCTTAACCTCCGCCGAACCCCTGAGACTGACTAACCGAACCCCTGGGGTTCGATCGAACCCAGGTTAAGAACCACTGATCTAGAATGAATGGATCTTTGTGTGTGTGTGTGCGTGCGCAGCTGAAGGTGATGAAGTTTCAGGATGAGCTGGAGTGCGGCAAGCGCCACAAAAAGGCCGGCCAGAGCATCCGGGAGCAGGTGGAGCACTATCGGAGCAAGCTGCTCGCAAGGGTACGGCCCACGGGATGGTGTCACGTGTTGAACTTGTTTCGCACCGTGCGTCGCCAACCGTGCTGTGTGTGTGTTTGTGTTGAACCTGTTTTGGTGAGGGTAGAGATAAGTGCTAGGGAAGCGATAGTGGTAGGGGTAGCTACCCACTCAACTACCGACTCACCTAACCAACTACCTAACCACTTACCTACCGAATCACCTATCCAGCTACCGAACCACTCACCTACCGACTCACCTATCCAGCTACCGAACCACTCACCTACCGACTCACCTATCCAGCTACCGAACCACTCAACTACCGACTCACCTATCCAGCTACCGAACCACTCACCTACCGACTCACCTATCCAGCTACCGAACCACTCAACTACCGACTCACCTAACCAGCTACCGAACCACTCACCTACCGACTCACCTATCCAGCTACCTAACCACTCACCTACCGACTCACCTATCCAGCTACCGAACCACTCAACTACCGACTCACCTAACCAGCTACCGAACCACTCACCTACCGACTCACCTATCCAGCTACCGAACCACTCAACTACCGAATCACCTATCCAGCTACCGAACCACTCACCTACCGACTCACCTATCCAGCTACCGAACCACTCACCTACCGACTCACCTATCCAGCTACCGAACCACTCACCTACCGACTCACCTATCCAGCTACCGAACCACTCACCTACCGACTCACCTATCCAGCTACCTAACCACTCACCTACCGACTCACCTATCCAGCTACCTAACCACTCACCTACTGATTCACCTATCTAGCTACCAACCCACTCACCAATCCACCTACCTACCCACTCACCTATCAACCTACCAACTCACCTATCTACCTACCAACTCACCAATCCATCTATCTACCCGCTCACCTATCCATCTACCAACTCACGTACCCACTCACTTATCCATCTACCTATTTATCGTACGTAGCCATTCATGCTGTGTGTAGCTAACCATGCTATGTGTGTGTGTGTTAGACTTCTTTCGCCCCGTGCGTAGCCAACCATGCTATGTGTGTGTGTGTGTTAGACTTATTTCGCCCCGTGCGTAGCCAACCGTGCTGTGTGTGTGTTTGTGTTGAACTTGTTTTGGTAGGTGTAGAGATATGTGCTAGGGGAAGCGATAGTGGTAGGGGTCGTGTTAGGGGTATATGGGTAGGGATAGTGGTAGGGGTAGGGGTCGTGTTAGGGGTATATGGGTAGGGATAGTGGTAGGGGTAGGGGTCATGGTAGGGGTATATGGGTAGGGATAGTGGTAGGGGTCGTGTTAGGGGTATATGGGTAGGGATAGTGGTAGGGGTAGGGGTCGTGGTAGGGGTATATGGGTAGGGATAGTGGTAGGGGTAGGGGTCGTGGTAGGGGTATATGGGTAGGGATAGTGCTAGGGGTAGGGGTCGGGGTAGCGGTGGTGGTAGTGGTAGCGGTTTATGGGTAGAGATAGTGGTAAGGGTAGCGATAGTGGTCGGGGTAGAGATGGCGGTAGCGGTTGGGGGGGTAGGTGTGGAGATAGGGGTAGTGGTAGGGGTAGGGGTGGAGATAGGGGTAGTGGTAGGGGTAGGGGTGGAGATAGGGGTAGTGGTAGCGGTAGTGGTAGGGGTAGGTGTGGAGATAGGGGTAGTGGTAGGGGTGGAGATATAGGGGTAGTGTTAGGGGTGGAGATAGGGGTAGTGGTAGGGGTAGCGGTTTATGGGTAGCAATAGTGGTCGGGGTAGCAGTGGTGGTAGTGGTATTTGGGTGGCGGTAGTGGTAGAGATGGCGGTAGTGGTAGGGGTAGTGGTAGGGGTTGTGGTAGTAGCAGGGGTATTGTGTGGAGATAGGGGTGGTGATATGGGTAGTGGTAGGGGTAGTGGTAGGGGTAGTGGTAGGGGTTGTGGTAGTAGCAGGGGTATGTGTGGAGATAGGGGTGGTGATATGGGTAGTGGTAGGGGTAGTGGTAGTGGTAGGGGTAGTGGTAGGGGTAGTGGTAGGGGTAGTGGTAGGGGTAGTGGTAGGGGTAGTGGTAGGGGTAGTGGTAGGAGTAGCGACAGCGATAGGGAGGGGTGGCGGCGGTAGCGTTTGTGGCAGCCAGGAGCTGTTCACGCGAACGCCGTCACTGGCGCTCCCAACGTACCAACTGCGAGCGCCCCCCTCACCCCCCTCACCCCCTCTCACCCCCCTCACCCCCCTCACCACCCTCACCCCCCTCACCCCCCCCAGGAGAGGGAGAAGGAGAAGAAGGAGCGCGACAAGAAGGATCGCGACAAGGAGGAGAAGCGGAAGGGGCGCAGGGAGGGCGGCCGCAGCTCCTCGTCCCCCACGCCGCAGCAGCAGCAGCAGCAGCAGCCGGCGCCGCAGCAGCAGCAGACGGCAGCGCCGGCAACGCCGTCTGTGCCGTCGTCATCGTCGTCACGTCGCGAGCGGTGAGGCCGGAGGGCTTGGGCCACGGCGCTGGCTCGCAGTGGCCCAAGCCACTCGCTACAACACTCGCTGCACCACTCGCTGCACCACTCGCTACACCACTCGCTGCAACACTCACTCACCACTCACTACACCACTCGCCACACCAATTACCACTCACCACACTACACCACTCACTACACCAATTACCACTCACCACACTATACCACTCGCCACACCACTCACTCACCACTCACTCACCACTCGCTACACCACTCGCTACACCACTCACCACACCACTCGCCACACCACTCACTCACTAAACCACTTGCTACACCACTCGCTACACCACTCACCACACCACACAGCCACTCACCACACCACTCACCAGTCACACCACTCACACCACACAGCCACTCACCACACCACTCACCAGTCACACCACTCACACCACACAGCCACTCACCACACTACTCACTCACCAGCCAACCACCCACCTACATCACACATCACCACACCCACACGCACCAACCTCCCTACGCTCACTCACCCACTCACTCACCCACCCCACCCATCCACTCACCTACCCACTCAGCCACCCACTCACCCACCCATTCACCCACTCAACCACTCACTCACGCACCCATCCCACTCACTCACCCACCCATTCAACCATCCACTCACCCACCCACTATTCACCCACCCACCCACTCACCCGCCAATTCACTCACCCACTCACCCATCCACTCACCCATCCACTCACCCATCCACTCACCCACCAATTCACCCACTCACCCACTCACTCACTCACCCACCAACTCACCCACCCACTCACTCCCTCACCCACCAACTCACCCACCCACTCACTCACCCCCAACTCACCCACCCACTCACTCACCATTTCACCCCCCCCCACCCCCCGCACGCCACAGGAAGCGCAGCAGCAGCAGCCGCTCTGGCTCGGAGGAGCGCTACCCCAGCCCCTGCTCCTCGCGCCAGCAGCAGCAGCAGCGGCGCCAGCAGCGACCGCAGCGCGACTCCCCCCCCTCCTCCTCCACCACCTCACCTCCTCACCCCCCTCCCGCTCCGTCCACCGCCGCCGCCACCTCGTCGTCGTCCGCGGCGGCGTCGTCGTCGTCGAGGCACCGCTCGTCCCCGGCACGCTCGCAGCGTTCGCGACGCGGCGACGATGACACCGCCGCCCCCGCCTCGTTGTCCCGCTCCCCACCCACCGCCGCCGCCGCCGCCTCGTCGTCGTCGTCGGTTCGGGACGCCGCCGGCGTGTCGTCGTCATCGTCGTCGTCGCGCAAGAAGACCACGCGCAGGTGAGCGGTGCATTGTGGGGGTTAGTGGTAGGGGGTCGTGGAGGTGATGATGGTGGTGGTGGTGGAGGTGGTGGAGGTGGTGGTGGTTGTGGTGATGGTGGTGGGGATGGTGGTGGCGGAGGTGGTGGAGGTGTTGGGGGTGGTGGTGGCGGAGTTCGTGGAGGTGGTGGAGGTGTTGGGGGTGGTGGTGGAGGTGGTGATGGTGGTGATGGTGTTGGGGGTGGTGGTGGTGGAGGTGGTGGTGGTTGTGGTGATGGTGGTGGGGGTGGTGGTGGCGGAGGTGGTGGAGGTGTTGGGGGTGGTGGTGGCGGAGTTCGTGGAGGTGGTGGAGGTGTTGGGGGTGGTGGTGGAGGTGGTGGAGGTGGTGATGGTGTTGGGGGTGGTGGTGGTGGAGGTGGTGGTGGTTGTGGTGATGGTGGTGGGGGTGGTGGTGGCGGAGGTGGTGGAGGTGTTGGGGGTGGTGGTGGCGGAGTTCGTGGAGGTGGTGGAGGTGTTGGGGGTGGTGGTGGAGGTGGTGGAGGTGGTGATGGTGTTGGGGGTGGTGGTGGTGGATGTGGTGGTGGTTGTGGTTATGGTGGTGGTGGCGGAGGTAGTGGAGGTGGTGATGGGGGGGTGATTGGGGTCATTGGGGTAGTGGTGGTGATGGGGTAGTGATGGTGGTGGTGGTGAAAGTGGTCATGGGGGTAGTGGTCATGGGGGTGGTGGTAGGGGTAGTGTAGTGGTGGTGGTAGTGATAGTGGTGGTGGTGATAGGGGTTGTGGTACCAGGTGGTGATGGGGGTAGTGGTGATGGTGGTCATGGGGGTAGTGGTGGTGATGGCGGGTAGTGATGGTGGTGGTGAGATAGTGGTCATGTGGGTAGTGGTGATGGGGGGGATAGTGGTGGTGGTGATAGGGGTAGTATAGTGGTGGTGGTAGTGATAGGGGTAGTGGTGGTAGGGATAGGGGTAGTGGTGGTAATGATGGGGGTAGGGGTGGTAGTGCTGATAGGGGTAGTGGTAGGGGTAGTGATATGGAGGAGGCTCGTGAAGGACGCTGCTCCTGGGCAGTTGGAGGCAGTCACCCCATGGCACCTGCTGGGTCTGTCCCAAGACCTCCTGTCAGTGAGCCTTCGACACTTCACGTGATAGCCTCAAAGTGCACCTGGCCTGGCACAGGCTCAGTGGTGACGTCAACCGTCACTCAGCGGGGATTGGTCGGGATTTAGTGGTGGTGAGCGATAGGGGTGGCGATAGGGGTAGTGGTGATGCTGGTGATAGGGTAGTGGTTGCGGTGGTGGTGATGGAGGTAGTGGTGGGGGGTAGTGGTAGGGGGTAGTGGTATGAGGTAGTGGTAGTGGTAGAGGAGCAAAGGTGGGTTATGACTTCCTGCTGAGACACTAACGTGGCCACTGCCCCCCCCTCTCCCCCCCCCTCTCCCCCCCCCCCACCAGGTCCCCGTCCCCACGCTCAGAGCGCTCCCACCGGTCCGACAAGTCTGAGCGCACTCGCTCACCCACGCGGAGAGATTCGCCCAGCGTCAAGCGGTCCAAGCGGTGAGAACAGAGACACACAGAGACACACACAGAGACACACGCACAGAGACACACACACAGACACACACACAGAGACACACACACAGAGACACACACACAGAGACACACACAGACAAGTCTGAGCGCACTCGCTCACCCACGCGGAGAGACTCCCCCAGCGTCAAGCGGTCCAAGCGGTGAGAACAGAGACACACACTGAGACACACATAGAGACACACGCAGAGACACACGCACAGAGACACACACAGAGACACACACAGACAAGTCTGAGCGCACTCGCTCACCCACGCGGAGAGACTCGCCCAGCGTCAAGCGGTCCAAGCGGTGAGAACAGAGACACACAGTGACACACACACACAGAGACACACACACAGAGACACACAGACACACACACAGAGACACACACACAGAGACACACACACAGAGACACACACAGACAAGTCTGAGCGCACTCGCTCACCCACGCGGAGAGACTCGCCCAGCGTCAAGCGGTCCAAGCGGTGAGAACAGAGACACAGAGACACACAGTGACACACACACACAGAGACACACACACACAGAGACACACACACAGACACACGCAGAGACACACACACAGAAACACGCACACAGAGACACACACACAGACACACACACTCACAGAGCGACACACACAGAGACACACACATAGAGACACACGCAGAGACACACACACAGAAACACACACACAGACACACACACACAGAGACACACACACAGACACACAGAGAGACACACACACAGAGACACACACACAGACACACAGAGAGACACACACACAGACACACACGCAGAGACACACACACAGACACACACACACAGAGCGACACACACAGAGACACACACATAGAGACACACGCAGAGACACACACACAGACACACACACACAGACACACACACACAGAGACACACACACAGAGACACGCGCAGAGACACAGAGACACGCCCGTACACCCACCGACCTACTCGCCCGACCACCCACCCGCTCGCCCGCTCGCCCGCCCACTCGCTCGCCTGCCCACCCACTCATCAGCCGACCCACCCACTCCTCTGCCCGGCCACCTATTCCCCCGGCCACCCACCCACTCGCCCACCCACTCACCCACCCACCCACTCACCCGCCTACCCACTCACTCACCCACCCACTCACCCACCCGCCCACTCACCCACCCACTCAAACACCCACTCAAACACCCACTCGCTCACCGTGTGTGCGTGTCGCGTGTGTTATGTTAGCATGTCGTGTGTGTTATGTTAACGTGTCGTGTTTGCGTGTCGCCAGGTCGCGTTCACGCTCTCGGTCTCCGACGTCATCGGGGAGGAAGTCTCGTCGCTCACCAGCGGCGCGCTCACCACCTCGCTCGCACAAGAAGTCGAAAAAGAGCAAGCACTAACACGCTCGCTCACCACGTACTCACCACGTACTCACTAACACACTCGCTCACTCGCTCACTCACACACACACTAACACGCTCGCTCACCACGTACTCACTAGCACACTCACACACTCGCTCACTCACCACTCACACACGCACTAACACGATTGCTCACCACATACTCACACACTCGCTCACTCACCACTCACACGCACACACTAACACGCTCGCTCACCATGTACTCACTAACACACACACTCGCTCACCGCATACTCACATGCTCACCACGTACTCACTAACACACTCACCACGTACTCACTAACACACTCACACACGCACTCGCTCACCGCATACTCACACGCTCACCACGTACTCACTATCACACACGCACTCACTCACCACTCACACACAGACTAACACACTCGCTCACCACGTACTCAACTCATACTCACACACTCACTCACACACTCACTCACACACCACGTACTCACCTACACACTCAGGCTGTTGGGGCAAGTGCTATTAGCGCGTAGCACCTATGAAGGCCGGCACGGCACACGCCCGAACACACTCACACACACGCACACAACAACAACAGCCATTCCCCTCTAAGTGGCGTTGACGTCACCACGACGCTTGTGCCAGGCTATGTGCACGTTAAGCCCTTAACGTGCCTTAACACACCCACATGCGCACACACGCACACACCCACGCACCCACGCATGCACACACACGCCCCCACGCACACACCCACAAACACCCACGCGCGCACACACATGCGCACACACCCACGCATACGCATACGCACACGCACACACGCACGCACACACACACACGCAGACACACACACGCACACACACACGCGCACACACATGCGCACACACGCACACACGCGCACACCCACACACCCGCGCCAGTGTTGACAGTCACCCACCCTGTCATGAACGGTAACCGCGTGAGCATCTCATCTCGGACCCCCCACGCCCCCCGCCAAGGATTATAAAAGCCAGCTCCCGATGTTGAACCCCGTACATCGCAGGCCCTGGTTCACGCTATTTTTATATAAACAAACAAAAAACAAACACCGTTAAAATGAAAACCTCCCACCCCAGGTTTCTCGTGGTACTCGGGGCGTGAGTATGCGCGAGGAGTACACGCGCGCACACACACACACACGCTCACGTACACACGCGCACGTACACACACACGCGCTCACGTACACACTACACCCTGTCTCCTTGTCTCCCCCACCGCTCCGCTTGGCTTCACTCAACACAATCGTCGTCACCGTCACCGCCATCGTCATGGCTGTCCACAGCGTTGCATCTCCGTGGTCCCTGATCAGCCCATCGCCACCACCACCGCCGCCACCATCGCCACGGCCAGCACCGCCATCGCCACCACGGCCAGCGTCACCATCGTCACCACGAACACCACCAGCACTACCACCACCGCTGTGAGCACCGCCGCCGTCACGATAATGATGTTGATCCCATGGGCTGACTTTTTTTATATTGTACAGAGTCTTATTTTTGTGTAAATTGGCTGCGGTGCAAAAAGCGGACACAACCGCAGGGCAAGATTTGTTAAGAAAATATCCCCCCCCTACCTCCCTCCCTCCCTACCTCCCTCCCTCCCTACCTCCCCGCTCGCTCCCCCTCCACCCCCTCCCTCCCCTTCCATCCCCCCTCCCTCCCCTTCCATCCCCCCTCCCGCCCCCTCTATCCACCCCTCCCTCACTCCCTGCCCCCCCCATGTACAACATTTCCCCCCCTCACTCCCCCAGCTCCCCCCCCTGTCCCCACCCTCCAGCAAGCAACGTGTCCGACACGGTTAAATCGAACGTCAGGTCACGGGCGTGATGGTGATGGTGGCGGTGATGGTGGTGGTGATGGTAGTGGTGGGGTAAAATGTGGCTAACTTCCAAAGGGGAGTTGGGTAGGTGGAAGGTGGGGGGGTGGGTGGGTAGGTGGGCGGCTGTCTTGAGTGCGAAGACCCCGCAGCGCCATGGCAAAGCGGAGCGGGTGGGGGGGGGCTTCACGAACTTCCAACCCTTTTCATTTCTCGCGATGAGCGTGGATCTCTGCCTCTCTCTGTCTCTCTCCTCTGTCTCTCTCTGTCTCTCTGTCTCTCTCTCTGCCTCTCTCTCTGTCTCTGTCTGCAAACTCTCCCCCCCCCACCCCACCCCTGGTCGGGGAGGTGTCACCCCAGTGTGGTGGAACTAAAATAAAAAAAAACAGTTTTTGTTGTTTTTTTCGATTCGTAAAAAAAAAAGCGTCTTTGTCATCTTCGTCGTCGTCTTCGTCCTTTCCCCCACCACGCCTGTTTATTTATTTTATTTGTTCAACGAACGTACCCGCGTCTCCTTTGGCGCGAGCGCAGAGCCGGTAACCCCGGCAATTGTGCAGCGGCGAGCGGACCGATCGGCGGTGGAGTGCGCTACCCATCGGGGAAGGCCGCGCGAGAAGCCCTCTTGACGACGGCGAAATTGGTTCCACGAAAGCGGTCGGCCCAGTGATTTTTTTGGTCGGTAAGCGAGTATCACCGTCAGTGGGCAACACAAGCAGCTGATCGCAACTCCTGGCGGCACACAGTCCACCAGGCCACCTCCTTCTTCGAAGATACCCGCAGGGCCCGTATGGAGGACAAAAGGAGGAGGAAGAACCGTGATCCCTCAGCACCCATCCCAGATGAGACCTATACTTGCAGCTGTTGTGGCAGGACCTGCTTGTCCCGCATAGGCCTCGTCAGCCACCAGCGTGCCTGCAGAAGACGTGGATGTCCTTCCTAGATCTTCGTTCGCGAAGCCAAGCCATGATGATGATGATGAAGCGAGTGTGGGGAATATTCGCGGTTAGAGGCTCAATTCGTGTGGATAGCATCGAAAGTTAGACCTTTTTCACCCGAACGTACCTCGTAATATTCCATTTAAACACTGGATATGAATACCTAAGGATACCAACAACATAAACATACGAATAAGAAACACGGTTAATCGATGTGCAATGACGATTTGACACGCTTCTTTTGAGATGGCACTTTATTGAAGGCGCCCGTTCGCTTGGCATCAGGCGGAGGGACCCCCACTGCAACAGCCCCGAGTGTCGGGTGGTTGCGGGTTTAACGACACAGCGTTTGTTATATTTACGCGTTCTCACTACCAAATCCCACCACCAAATATCCCACCCCCCCCCCCCCCCTCTATGGATGATATTGGTCGCAAAACGCCCTACTTAAAGCACTCCCGGCTCCCGCCCTGGGAACGTGGAATGTCCACCAGCGGCATCACTCGAGCGTTTTTCTCGAGGGATAATCTTCACGACCCAACGATCATCACCATATCACTCTCTCATCAATATCATCACTGGTATCAGCATCATCAGCTGCAGTCACCATATCACTCTCATCAGTCTTCATCACTGGGATCATCACACAACCATCTGCAGTCACCACATAGGCGCTGCTACTCGCTACTACTAAGATCACTTGGCCCTACAGTCTGCTAGAGGCTACACGGGGGATCTTTGCGTATAGGTGCTGCTACTCGCTACTAACAGCACTGGCCCCAATAGTCTGCTAGAGGCTACACGGGGGATCTTTGTTTCCCTTTGACGACAGCGTCCAACTTTGGCCGGCATTCGTTTTCCCGCCCCGTCCCTCCCTCCCCAAAACAACCCTCGATTGCCTGAACCGACACACAGCGAAACTACCGCCCAGGGTTTGCTATCACACGCAGATGGGTCCGGGAGACGTAACGCTGCCGGGAAATCGTCGGTAGCAAGCGTCGCCCGGTACCCATCATCCAATGTCACTCCAGTGGCCCTTGAGAAACTGCATCAACGCCACCGGCCCCTTGGTTCGAAATTCTCAGCGGCGAAGCTACCGCCCAGGGCTTGCTATCACACGCAGTTTGGACCAGGAGACTTAACGCTGCTGGGAAATCGTCGGTAGCAAGCGTCACCCATCCCAGTACCCATCATCCAATGTCAGTCCAGTGGCCCTTGAGACACTGCATCAACGCCACCGGCCCCTTGGTTCGAAATTCTCAGCGGCGAAGTTACCGCCCAGCGCTTGCTATCACATGCAGTTGGGACCGGGAGACTTAACGCTGCCGGGAAATCGTCGGTAGCAAGCGTCACCCATCCCAGTACCCATCATCCAATGTCAGTCCAGTGGCCCTTGAGACACTGCATCAACGCCACCGGCCCCTTGGTTCGAAATTTTCAGCGGCGAAGCTACCGCCCAGCGCTTGCTATCACACGCAGTTTGGACCAGGAGACTTAACGCTGCCGGGAAATCGTCGGTAGCAAGCGTCACCCATCCCAGTACCCATCATCCAATGTCAGTCCAGTGGCCCTTGAGACACTGCATCAACGCCACCGGTCCCTTGGTTCGAAATTCTCAGCGGCGAAGCTACCGCCCAGGGCTTGCTATCACACGCAGTTTGGACCGGGAGACTTAACGCTGCCGGGAAATCGTCGGTAGCAAGCGTCACCCACGCCCGGTACCCATCGCCTAGCGCCAGCCGGCCGTCACGGCAACGGCCTCACGAGGAAGAGCCTCTCGCCGGCTCCGCTCGAGAAGATGGGGGCCGCCTCGCCGTAGTGGGCGACGAGGGCGTCCATGGAGTCGAAGAGGCGCTGCCCGATGCGGAAGACGCCGCCCGCCGTGCCCACCTTGAAGTGCCGATTCCTGTCCGCCGCCCTCACGGAGAGCGACAGGTCGCTGGGCTGGAGAGGGGGAGGAGGGGGAGGTGGGGGACAGGAGGGGAGGGAGGAGAGGGGAGGAGAGGGGAGGGGGGGGAGGTGGAGAGGGGGGAGGAGAGGTGGGGGACAGGAGGGGAGGGAGGAGAGGGGAGGGGAGGGAGGAGAGGGGGGAGGAGAGGTGGGGGACAGGAGGGGTGGGGGACAGGAGGGGAGGGGGGGGGGACAGGAGGGGAGGGAGGAGGGTGGAGGAAGGGAGGGTGCAGGGGGGGAGGTGAAGAGGGGGAGGAGAGGTGGGGGGACAGGAGGGGAGGGAGGAGGGGGGAGGAGGGGGGAGGGGAGGTGGGGGGACAAGAGGGGAGGGAGGGGGGGGTAGGGAGGTGGGAGACAGGAGGGGAGGAAGGAGGGGGGAGGGAGGAGGGGGAGGGAGGAGGAGGGTGGAGGGAGGGAGGAGGGTGGAGGGCGGGTGGAGAGGTGGGGGGATGAGGGGAGGAGGGAGGGAGGAGGGGGGGTGGAGAGGGAGGGGGGTCGAGAGAGAAAGGTGAAGTGGGGGTGGGGAGGGAGTGAGGGGGGTGGAGGAGAGTGGAGGGGGAGGGATGAAAGGGGGGAGGAGGGAAGAGGAGGGGGGCCGTGGGGAAGAGATGAGAGGGGTGGGGGGATGAGAGGGGGGGGGGCGTCAGTAGTTACCTCCTGGGCATCGGTGACAAAGATCTTGACGGCTCATGGCGTTCCTCCTCTACACATCAGCGTGGTGGTGGTGGTGATGATGATGATGGTGGTGATGGGGGTGGTGATGATGGTGGTGGTGATGATGGTGGTGGTGATGGTGATGGGGGTGGTGATGGTAGTGGTGATGATGGTGGTGGTGATGATGGTGATGATGATGATGGTGGTGATGGTGGTGATGGTGATCGGGGTGGTGATGGTAGTGGTGATGGTGGTGATGGTGGTGATGATGGTGGTGGTGGTGATGATTCACGAATGGAAACATTAAAACCTCCCCGGCAGGAGTGGTGGTGGCGATGTGCGACTGTGGGCCACCCAGAGCAGAGACTCAGAGAGATCCATCGACTGTTTTTGATAATTATGCACGGAACTATGAACCCCAGAGACGCAAGTTCGATTCCCGCTCGCGGCCAACACCAATGACGATGATCTGAGCCTGTCCTGGGCCTCCCCAACCGAGGTCGAGCCGGCCTCATATAATTGGTGCGGAGTGGACTGGGGAGACAAAGGCGGCCGGGCGCGGCTCTAGGAAACCCACCCAACAACAACCGCCATTCGCCACAAAGTGGCACTGACGTCACCACGACGCTTGTGCCAGGCTTTGTGCACGTTGAGGCCATGTGAAGTGTCGTACGCCCGCTGGCGGGAGGTCACGGGGCAGACCCAGGTGCCACAGGTCGACTGACTGAGATGACCGAGACGAGTGGCTGATGCACCACCTGTGCCAACTTGCTGTGCTTTAGCCACCCGGCGCTCCGCTCGTTGTTGTGAGCGTCGCTCCTCCCCCCTCCGTTGTTGTTGGAGGGCGACTGCCTCCAACTGCCCAGTAGCGTCCTTCACGAGCCTCCTCCACAGAGGCCGATCTTGACACCGCTGGTACCGGTCATCGGCAAGTCCACTCAGCTTCACGTCCTCCTGTACCACATCACTCCATCTCTTCTCTAGCCCGTGCCACGCCCGTTTAGCCCCTTCTATCCGATGCAGCCTTACCTGCTAGAGGAGCTCACCGATGGGACTTTGTCCAGATCTTTCGAGAGTTTGTGAGCTCCTCACACAATCCAGCCTGCAGGTTAAACCCAGGATGGATCGTAGGCAGTCCGGCCCAAATGTTTCTAACCGGCGCAGACGTTCCATTAGGGGGTCCACATTTCACAAAGCGTAGAGAAGGGATGGCATGACCATGGCCGAGAAGACCCGAAGCTTCGCGCGGAGCGACAGACCAGGTAGCTTCCACACAGATGAGATGAGAGACAGAGAGACAAGACAGAGAGCGAGAGAGACACAGAGACAAGACACATGGAGACAAGACCGAGACGCCAGTCGCATGCCCACCGAGGACTCCGAGTCGCGGACTACAAAGTCTCCATTCTCCCCTCGCTCGTTCAGCGCCGCCTCTGCCATGTGGCGGCTCATGGAGCCCCGGTACCACGGCCGGCACGGGAACCGGCTCACGGTACCCTGCACGGGCTGCTGCTGCTGCTGTAGCTGCTGCTGTAGTAGCTGCTGCTGTAGCTGCCGGTAGTGGTGCTGGTGGTGGTGGGTCCGCCCGGCATCCGTGCCATTGTGGGGGTCCCCGTGGATGTGCGGCACCGCCGATTCTGTCGCCGGTAGCACCTGTGTGGGGCCGGCGGAGGGGTTCCAGTCACCCGACTGACACCCACGCACACCCACACACCCTACCCACCCACCCACACACACCCACACCCACACACACACCCACACACACACACACACCCTACCCACCCTCACCCACCCACACCCACTACCCACCCTAACAACCCTACACACCCACCCTACCCATCCTCACCCACCCACTCACACCTCACTCACCCACCCTACCCACCCACACCCGACCCACCCACACCCACCCTACCCAATCACCCTACCCACCCACACCCACCCTACCCACCCACACCCACCCACCCTACCCACCCACACCCGACCCACCCACACCCTACCTACCCTCACTCACCCCCACCCTCACCCACCCACACCCACCCAACCGACCCACCCACCCTACACACCCACCCCCACCCTCACCCACCCACACCCACCCACACCCACCCACCCACACCCACCCTACCCACCAACACCACATCCACCCACCCTAGCCACCCACCCACACCCGACCCACCCACACCCACCCTACCCAATCACCCTACCCACGCACACCCACCCACACCCAAACACCCATCCACCCTACCCACCCCACCCACCCACACCCACCCACTCACCCCACCCACACCACCCTACCCAATCACCCTACCCACACACACCCACCCACACTCAAACACCCATCCACCCTACCCACCCCACCCACCCACACCCACCCACTCACCCCACCCACACCCGCCCGACCCACCCACCCACACCCACCCACACCCACCCCCACCCACCCTACCCACCCACCAACCCTACCCACCCCCATCCACACCACACCACACCCACACCCACCCGCACGTAGTTGCGTGGCACCAGCCCCGTGGCTCCGTCGGCCCTCCGGCAGTGCCACCACTCGGGGTCGTCGAGCGGCTTGCCCAGCACCTCCAGGTGCTCGCCCAGAGCGAAGCTCAGCTCCTCGCTGCTGCTGCTGGCGCTGAACGGGTACATGGCCACCACCACCTCCAGCACATTTCCTCCTGTTCCTCTATCATGACCACCACCACTTCCTCTTCTCCCACCACCTGCTCTATCACCGCCGCTACCACCACTACCTGCAACTCCTCTATCACCGCCACCACCTACTCCATTACCACCACCACTACTACCACCACCACCACCACCACCACAACTACCACCTCCTCTATCACCGCCACCACTACCTCCTCCTCTATCACCGCCACCACCATCACCTCCTCTCCAACCTCCTCCTCTATCACCGCCACCGCCTACTCCTCCATCACCACCGCCGCCACCACAGCTGCGACAACCACCACCACCACCACCACAACCACAACCACCACCCCCCCATCCTCGTGCCACGAGTACGGCTTCGGTCAAGAACGCCGCCACGTCCAGCTGCCCCCGCCGCCGCTGACCGCCGCTCCCGGTAGCCGCGGTGGCGGTGGCCGCGGTGGCCGCTGTCCCTGATGGAGTCCTCCGACGCACCGGGAGCGACATAGTTCCCGGGGAACCATCCCGTGGCGCCGCCGGGCAAGCGGCCCCGCCACCACCCGTCGCTGCCCTTGTCCGTCACGGCGACGCGCGCCCCCCTGGACAGCGACAACTCGTCGGGGCGTCCGGCCGTGTAGTCGTAGCGAGCCACCGCCACCGCCATCACCGGTGCCTCCCCCCCGGTGGCGCCGGATGGGCGACGCGGTGCCGGAGACGGTGCCAGGGACGGTGCCGTTGGCGTAGCCGGCAACCACGGCGGCGGCGGCATGGCCGCGGTTGATTGCGACCAATGCTGCTGATGATGATGATGATTTTGCTGATGAGTCTGCTGATGAGGCTGATGATGATGATGGCTGGGAGTAATGGACGGCATCTTGTGGCAAGGCGACAGATTCGTGGTGCCGGTGACGCCGCCGGTGGTGACGGTGGTGGTGACGGTGGCGGTGGTGGTGGTGTTGGTGGTGACGATGGTGGTGGTGCCGGTGGTGGTGCCGGTGGTGGTGACGGTGGTGGTGACGGTGGTGGTGACGGTGGTGGTGACGGTGGTGACGATGGTGGTGGTGCCGGTGGTGGTGCCGGTGGTGGTGCCGGTGGTGGTGACGGTGGTGGTGACGGTGGTGGTGACGGTGGTGGTGACGATGGTGGTGGTGCCGGTGGTGGTGACGGTGGTGATGGTGCCGGCGATGGTGATGGTGACGGCGGTACCAGTGGTGGTGATGTTGCTGTTGGTGGTGGTGACAGTGGTGGTGGTGGTGTTGTTGTTGGTGGTGGTGGTGGTGACGGTGGTGGTGTTGCTGGTGATGGTGATAGTGTTGTTGGTGTTGGTGACGATGGTGGTGGTGACGGTGACAGTGGTGGTGTTGTTGGTGGTGGTGACGGTGGTGGTGACAGTGGTGGTGTTGCTGGTGACGGTGGTAGTGTTGTTGGTGGTGGTGACGGTGGTGGTGATGGTGGTGGTGTTGTTGGTGGTGACGATGGTGGTGGTGACGGTGACAGTGGTGGTGTTGTTGGTGGTGACGATGGTGGTGGTGACGATGGTGGTGGTGACGGTGGTGGTGACGGTGACAGTGGTGGTTTTGTTGGTGGTGGTGGTGACGACGGTGGTGGTGGTGTTGTTGCTGGTCACAGTGGTAATGTTGTTGGTGGTGGTGACGACGGTGATGGTCACGGTGACGGCGGCACCGATATCTGCCCTACCGCCGACGAGGATCGCCGCCGCGGTCAGACAAAGTGTCCCCAGAGTCGGTCGTGGACTTTGCTCTGCCCACACCTGGGGGATAGGTGCGCCGAGGGAGGGTTGACGATGGTCAGTGGGGGGGGGGGGGGGGGGGGGGGGCGTGGGGGAGGGGCGGGGGGTGACCGAAAGAACAAGAGGCGTTATTTTGTTTTTTACATGGTAAATGTATCTTCTTGGTTCTTTCGGTAAAGTCACGTAGAATTGAAATAATTAAAAAATAAAAATAAAACATAATAAAATAATTCTCACGACGTTTCGGCCACAACGCAAGCAGCCGTCCACAGGTGAAGAACAGGTCTGTCGAGAAGACAGAGTCTGAATGACAGACCTGTTCTTCACCTGAGGACGGCTGCTTGCGTTGTGGCCGAAACGTCGTGAGAATTATTTTATTATGTTTTATTTTTATTATTTTATTATTTCCATTCTACGTGACTTTACCAAAAGAACCAAGAAGATGAATCCCTGCAGTCACAAAAGCTTTAAATCGAAAAGATGGTAAATGTAGTGTAGTGTGTAGTGTAGTTTGTCGTGTGCTGTAGTGTAGTGTGGTGTGTAGTGTAATGGAGTGTGTAGTGTGTAGGGTAGTGTAGTGTGTAATGTAGTGTATAGTGTAGGGTAGTGTAGTGTGTAGGGTAGTGTAGTGTGTAGAGTAGTGTAGTGTGTAGGGTAGTGTATAGTGTAGTATGTAGTTTATAGTGTATACAAGTGTAGTGTGTAGCGTATAGTGTAGGGTAATGGAGTGTAGCGTGTAGTCTATGAAGTTCAACACACACAACACGGTTGGATACGTACGGTGCGAAAGAAGCTCTGCCTACGTGTGTGTGTCTGAAGGTCGGGAGTGGGCGGCTAATTGATCAGACGCGGGTGGTGGGTGTGGTGGTAGTGGAGGTGGTGATGGTAGTCTTGGGGAGCGGTGGTGCAGCGGTTAGCGCTACGCTGCGCTACGAACCTGGCGACCCGGGTTCGATTCCCACTCGCGGCCAACACCACCGGTGACGATTATTTGAACCGGTCCTGGACCTCCCCCTAGGTCGACTCAGCCTCAAATTAGTTCCTGGTGCGGTGTGTAAACATCGCTACTAGGGTGGTGTTGGCCACCCACCCCCTCGTGTGCCTTGCCGGCCTTTATAGGTGCAGCACTTGCCCCTACAGTCTGTTAAGGCTATACTGGGGGTCTTTATCTTTGGGGGTGGTGGTGGTGGTGGGGATGGTGGTGGTACGATGGGTCAGATACACGACTTTGCCCTGCGTTTGTTTACGGCGTCTTATCAGCTTGGGCCAATTCTTTTTTTTTACCAGGTGCAACGCCCCTAAATCACTATCATCATCGTCACGTGGAAATGTATAGCAGCCGAATACTCTAAACGCATGCTTCTACACACTCAGACCCATACTCATAGACACCATATACCCATTGACCCACAGAGACCCATACTCATAGACACCATATACCCATTGACCCACAGAGACCCATACTCATAGACACCATATACCGATTGACCCACAGAGACCCATACTCAGACACCATAGACCCATTGACCCACAGAGACCCATACTCATAGACACTATAGACCCATTGACCCACAGAGACCCATACTCATAGACACCATAGACCCATAGACCCACAGAGACCCATAGAGGCACATTGACCCACAGAGAGCCACACTCATATAGATCCATTTACCCAGAGACTAATATAGATGCATAGAGACCCACTAAACGAAGCTATTTTTCATTTCACTAGGTGCAAGGCCCCACTGTCGGTGTGTGTGTGGCGTGGTGTTACAGCGCCACGTGTTGGCTTTCCAGAGTGGCAGCATCGATTACGGGACGATTTGTTCATAAAGCGAGCCGGAGTATTCATGGTCGATCAGCCCACCGACTCGCAGGTTAAGGCTCTGTTCGTGTTGGTGGTGTAAGCGGTGTGGGGGGGGGGGGCCTGTGGATTTTAGGAGGCTTACCTCATTCAACCACTCGCCCACTAAACCATTCACTCACCCACCCACTTAGGAGGTCTCAAACGGGTTTCGATTCCTTAACCGTACCCGGCCGCACCAGGGTCGCAAACGGGTATCGGGTACCTGATTGCGACCTCTGGGATGAAGCCATGTTGCAGGCGCGGGTGGGTTGATTCTAGGAACTTGAATTGTAGAGAAGAGACAAGACGTTGGGAAATGAGTGACAAACAGTTACTCATCAGTGACTCACAGTCTACCCGTACCCGTACCCGGCTGCACCAGGGTCACAAATGGGTACCCAATACCAACTCATTCCACTACCCAATTCTGCCCCTTCCACTACCCAATACCAACTCATTCCACTACCCAATTCTGCCCCTTCCACTACCCTTTTACTGTCCAATAGCGACCCCTTCCACTACCAAATACTGATTTCTGAGACTTACTCAGAGGCCCATAGACTTACTCAGACACCAGAGGTCGCAAACGGGTTTTGATTCCTTACCCGTACCCGGCCGCACCAGGGTCGCAAACGGGTACCCGTACCCGGCCGTACCCGTACCCTACCCGTACCCGGCCGGGTATCGGGTACCTGATTACGACCTCTGGGATGAAGCCATGTTGCAGGCGCGGGTGGGTTGATTCTAGGAACTTGAATTGTGAGAAGAGACAAGACGTTGGGAAATGAGTGACAAACGGTGACTCACCAGTGACTCACCGTCTACCCGTACCCAGCCACACCAGGGTCGAAAATGGGTACCCGTACCCGGCCGGGTACCCGGTTGCGACCTCTGCCACTTATTCATATTCCGAGGTTTTTTTCGGTAATGTCACGTAAAATTAAACATTAAAGTTAATTTTAATGTTTTACCTACGTGACTTTACCGAAAAACCCTAAGAATATGAATCCTTGCAGTCACGAAAGCTTCAAATCTAGAATCTCTGCCACTTATCCACCCACCCAATCACCAGGGCCGTATTATCCAATATGTCACAGTAAGAACCGTGGCTCGGGCTCCCCTCCCCCTCCCCTCAATTTAGCAAACTGATATCCGATTCGAGTTACATTTTTATTCATTTTTTTTATTTTTGGGACAATTCGAAAAAAAGTACAAACCACAAATCACGACGAGGGGCAGGAGGATGGGCTCTCATCATAATCATCATTAACAACAACGACGGTTAATCGTTTGAACAATAACAAAATGTTAAATCAGCGCACATGGTCATCCAACGCACTTTAAAACTGGTTACAGGTGGCCCCTCCCCCCTCCGCTAGAAAAAGGAGAGGATTGAGAAGGTGGAGAGAGCAGAGGGGCAGAGCGTGGATTGAACCAATGGAGCGAGAAAGAGAGTGGATTGAGCAGAAGGTGATGGAGGGCGAGAGAGAGGAAGAGTGGACTGAGAATACTCACAAACTAACTGTTGTTTTAAAAAAAAAAAAACTAGTTTTTCATGGACTACCAAAGCACCCAAGCCACGGGCAGGTACTTCTTCTGGCACCAACATCCAGGGTCCCAGAGGTCAGACCGGCTGGAATACCTGGGAGGTGGGGGCACCGGAGGATCTTATGTTTTGTGAAGCAGGACCAACAAGCTCAAGCAGCAGCAGTTGGAGCTTCTGAAGCAGCCAGAGCAGCAGCAGCAGCAAACCCACTCTTGACACCATCCACAGGAACCTCGTGCAGACTGACGACCCGCCGCCAGATCATATATTGTCCCAGTGTCTACACAGATCACGCTTTGTCCCCGTGTCACGCACGCTAATGCAGCATCTGCAATAGCAGCTCGGACAGTTGCAGTAGTTGGAGCAGCTGGAGCAGCAGAAACCCCACTTCTGACACCATCCACGGGAACCTCGTGCAGACTGACGACCCGCCGCCGGGTCATGCATTGTCCCAGTGTCTACACAGATCATGCTTTGTCCCCGTGTCCCGCACGCTAATGCAGCAGCAGCTGCAGTTGGAGCAGTTGGAGCAGCTGCAGCAGCAGGGACTAAGATACCAGGTGGTCCAAGCCCAGACCCTGTGGAAAACGCTGCTCACCTCCTACCGCAGGGCCCTGGTGCCCAAACGCCGTGGGTAAAGAACGTGGCAGAACCCTGTCCCCCTCTTGAACGTGCTGCACCAGATTCTGGGAGACGGTGGGGCGCAGGCTGCGGGAGGGCATCAACGTGGCAGCCGGTCCACTTGGGCAGCGGCTAGGCCTCGGCAAGGTAAAAAAGTGTACAAAGCAACGAGCCTACCTTAAACCCTTACCCCTTGGCATGTCGACACCTTTTACCCTTTTACCAGGTAAAAAGGGTACAATTACCTTGCCGAGGCCTAGCAGCGGCACAGGAGGAGTGGGGGGGGGGGGGGGCTCACCGATGGAGCTGCCATCCACCTCCACATGGAGAGTCGACGGACTAAAAGACGTCGTGGTAGTGATGGCGGTATTGTTGGTGGTGGTCGAGGTAGTGGGCGAGTGGCCGAGTAAGCCATGACCGTGGTAGAAAATTGATTTGCCGTCATAAAAATCACATTACCGGGTCTTTAAAAACACGAGGGAGAGGCGGATAGAAAGATGAAGAGAAGCGGGAGAGAGTGGCAGCTCGTGAAGTGTGAGGGGGAGGGGGGTTGTATTTGTGGTGGTCATGATTGACACACACTCGCCATAACCAGTGGGAGGGGGTAGAAACCGGTCGGGCCAACGGTGGTTGAAACTCCTCTGAGGGAAGGGGGCTGGCAGAAGCTACGATCCCCCAGAACCCTGCCTCTCAGGGAGAAAGAGTATATAAGGCGGGTCCCTGAGAGCACGAGGCAGTCCGTCTCAAGCCGAAGCCAGAAGCCGCCTGGAGAAGAAGACCCTGGACCCCAAGCCGCCGACGTCCTTCTAAGGGCCGGGGCTCAGTGCGGTGCCAGTGGTCGAGAGGCTAGAACCCCGAGGTTCCCTCGGCCTGATGTCCTTCTAAGGGCCAGTGGTCAGAGACCCACCGGGCCAGCGGTGGGTCAGCCTCCGCTAGGTCTAGCTAGCCGAAGGGCTAGAGTGGACAGTTGTAGATACGATAGCCCGGAGGGTGTACCTACCCAGGTTGTGGGTGAAAGGGGCCATTACCCCTTTGTGTTAGAGTTTAAGTGTAAACCGTTTGGTATAATAAACCGTGTTGCCTCTACGAAGACTCCGTTTCCCTCCAAGAACATGACATATTTATGCCCCTTTTTCCAAATTCATACTAAGAATAATTCGGCCAATAATATGAATAATAATAAAAAAAATATATATAAAAAAACCATATTCCCAAAACTCAACTACCCCTCAAGCCACACCAAGCATCTAGGAGGCCGTAAAATACCATTGAACAACAAGCTTGGGGCAAAGAGAGGTTACGGACTATCGGGAAATCTCCAGATTGGCGAGGGGTCTATGGCCTGACATTCCTGGGGCTTTTGTTTTTTCTGTTTTTTTTCCTCTCGCAAGAGACGCGCAGAGAGGGGAGGGTTTCAAGTTATTGGGTTAAGCACAAACGCACATCACGCAGTTCTGTCTGGTTCGAGTCTTGCTCAGTCTTGTGACTCGGCTTGCAACGCAGCGTTGCGAGGGAGGCTCGCAAGGGAGTTGGGGGTGGAGACTTGCCGGCAGGCACCGACACCAACCATGGGTTGTGCCTCGAGGAGAGATGGGACGAGGGGGGGGTCGTTAGAGTGCCAGAAGTCCGAGTTCAGTCTGGGTCGAGGCTGGTTTCAGCCTTGCTCCGGCTGGCGGTGCCGTCGCAAGGGAGCAAACACCGACACCGAAAGTCGGTGTAGATTCTCACGGAACGAGGTGGCGAGGTGTGGTTAAGTACGAGTGACGCTTGCGAAATTCCAGCTATCACTCTCGTGAAAGAACCTGAACCACGCAGCCCCTGAAGTGAGGGCGGGAGAGGCATCAGCGGGTGCCCGTGTGAAGCTGTCAGCTGCACGCCAAAGGCGAAAGCAAGGAGAGCGAACGGAGCAGTGGAAAAAGCCTGACCGGCCGCCCGTGAGGCAGAGGAGAGCGCCATCGATTGCGCCGTGTGTTTAATACACACATCGACCAGCACCCGCTGAGAACAGACAAGACATCCAGCTGCGGAGGAGCTGCGCGTGCGCTGACGGAATCATCGCGCACCACGACAGCGAGCGTCGTGCCGACTCGTCACCCAGCTGCGGACAAACAGCTGCAAACGGCCACAGGGCACGGGAGCCAAGCGCCACCAAGCCCTGCTCAGCGTCGAGCGACCGAGCCTCTACAAGGACAACATTGTGCCGACGCCACTCATCTAGCAGTGGAGAGAGTGAGCCAAAGGCTGCAGACGCGCCCGCGCGGGCAAGCAGGGAGTGAAGCAGCGGTGTGTATGCCCCCCCCCCAACCCTCGCAAGCTCACGACACAACTCCCAGCTCTAAAAAAATAATAATTAATTACTTTACCAAGGGGACACACACACACCACGCACATCGGGACGAATAAGATTATTCCACAAAGTAATCTGCGTTTCGAAAACGGTTGCCATTTCAAGGTGGTGCGTTCAACATCAACTGATCGTGAAAAGCAGTTGTTGCCCGTCGAGTTACACGAATACGGTCGTTAGAAGTGTTTTAGTGATTCATTTTCGTTAATTGCATAATCTTGCCGATGAATCTATTGACGTATACTCTTGCCCTCGGGATATAATAATTTGTTCATTGCCCTTCATATGAATATCGTTGCATGCCTGTTTTAAAGACTCTACCTATAGCCGGATATGCTCGTTACACGGTGGAATTAATGATGTGCGGTTGCCAAAGTGAAACCAGCAATCATTGTTGGTTAAACGTGCTGCTCACTGAGAACAAACTCCCCGATGGTACCGTGGATAATTCCGAGCAGGAATTAACACAAAAGTGTTTGAGCGTTTCGTTCCTAAGTTTATGCAAAACTCTTATTTATAAGAACTGTATCCTGCGTTGAGATATGAATTTGGAGACCTAACATAAACACACTAAGATAATCAATACATGTTTAATCAAAGATAATTGTTTTATCCCGATTGATTCAACTCTGGAAAACGAAGCCAAGCCTAATTATCATAACTGCCAACATTTACATAATCGCAAGCATTCACATAAATTAATACGATTATCATAATTTATGCATATAGTTACATACATTAGCATAATTTCCGTAACTTGGCCATCTTTCGAATTTTATAAAAAATATTTTTTTTCTTTCAAAATTTCATAGCCCGACATATACATCAGCGGGGTACCGAGTAACAATTCCCTTAGCCAATCAGCGACGTCCATCTTCCCCTCACACCTGTGAGACCCCGCCCATGTATGAACGAATACATTAATTACGTAATCATTAATTAAACCGCACGCGATTCTGATATTTGATCGACGGCAACTTTGTCTGCGGACTTATTTCCCCAACCCCCCGACCCCCCCCCCCCCCACCTTTGCAGTGAGACTGGGTTAAACGCGCGTTGAGCCGAAGGGACTTACTGCACATTTCTGTAGGTTGCTTTGTGATTCGAGTTGCGTGGGGTGGAGGGGAAGGGATGGCGAGGGAAGGTGATGATAGGGAGAGTGGAATGGGGTGAGGAGAACAGAAGGGGGAGGATGGTTGAGCACGAGAGCAAATGAGTGAGAGCATGGGTGAATGAGCGCGCGAGTGAAGAGTTGCAAGCGAATGAGCGCGAAAGTGAACGAGCGTCAAAGTGAATCAGAGCGGATGAGCGTCAAAGTGAATCAGAGCGGATGAGCGTCAAAGTGAATCAGAGCGGATGAGCGTCAAAGTGAATCAGAGCGGATGAGCGTCAAAGTGAATCAGAGCGGATGAGCGTCAAAGTGAATCAGAGCGGATGAGCGTCAAAGTGAATCAGAGCGGATGAGCGTCAAAGTGAATCAGAGCGGATGAGCGTCAAAGTGAATCAGAGCGGATGAGCGTCAAAGTGAATCAGAGCGGATGAGCGTCAAAGTGAATCAGAGCCGGATGAGCGTCAAAGTGAATCAGAGCGGATGAGCGTCAAAGTGAATCAGAGCGGATGAGCGTCAAAGTGAATCAGAGCGGATGAGCGTCAAAGTGAATCAGAGCGGATGAGCGTCAAAGTGAATCAGAGCGGATGAGCGTCAAAGTGAATCAGAGCGGATGAGCGTCAAAGTGAATCAGAGCGGATGAGCGTCAAAGTGAATCAGAGCGGATGAGCGTCAAAGTGAATCAGAGCGGATGAGCGTCAAAGTGAATCAGAGCGGATGAGCGTCAAAGTGAATCAGAGCGGATGAGCGTCAAAGTGAATCAGAGCGGATGAGCGTCAAAGTGAATCAGAGCGGATGAGCGTCAAAGTGAATCAGAGCGGATGAGCGTCAAAGTGAATCAGAGCCGGATGAGCGTCAAAGTGAATCAGAGCGGATGAGCGTCAAAGTGAATCAGAGCGGATGAGCGTCAAAGTGAATCAGAGCGGATGAGCGTCAAAGTGAATCAGAGCGGATGAGCGTCAAAGTGAATCAGAGCGGATGAGCGTCAAAGTGAATCAGAGCGGATGAGCGTCAAAGTGAATCAGAGCGGATGAGCGTCAAAGTGAATCAGAGCGGATGAGCGTCAAAGTGAATCAGAGCGGGTGAGCGTCAAGTGAATCAGAGCGGATGAGCGTCAAAGTGAATCAGAGCGGGTGAGCGTCAAAGTGAATCAGAGCGGGTGAGCGTCAAAGTGAATCAGAGCGGGTGAGCGTCAAAGTGAATCAGAGCGGATGAGCGTCAAAGTGAATCAGAGCGGATGAGCGTCAAAGTGAATCAGAGCGGGTGAGCGTCAAAGTGAATCAGAGCGGGTGAGCGTCAAAGTGAATCAGAGCGGGTGAGCGTCAAAGTGAATCAGAGCGGGTGAGCGTCAAAGTGAATCAGAGCGGGTGAGCGTCAAAGTGAATCAGAGCGGGTGAGCGTCAAAGTGAATCAGAGCGGGTGAGCGTCAAAGTGAATCAGAGCGGGTGAGCGTCAAAGTGAATCAGAGCGGGTGAGCGTCAAAGTGAATCAGAGCGGGTGAGCGTCAAAGTGAATCAGAGCGGGTGAGCGTCAAAGTGAATCAGAGCGGGTGAGCGTCAAAGTGAATCAGAGCGGGTGAGCGTCAAAGTGAATCAGAGCGGGTGAGCGTCAAAGTGAATCAGAGCGGGTGAGCGTCAAAGTGAATCAGAGCGGGTGAGCGTCAAAGTGAATCAGAGCGGGTGAGCGTCAAAGTGAATCAGAGCGGGTGAGCGTCAAAGTGAATCAGAGCGGGTGAGCGTCAAAGTGAATCAGAGCGGGTGAGCGTCAAAGTGAATCAGAGCGGGTGAGCGTCAAAGTGAATCAGAGCGGGTGAGCGTCAAAGTGAATCAGAGCGGATGAGCGTCAAAGTGAATCAGAGCGGATGAGCGTCAAAGTGAATCAGAGCGGATGAGCGTCAAAGTGAATCAGAGCGGATGAGCGTCAAAGTGAATCAGAGCGGATGAGCGTCAAAGTGAATCAGAGCGGATGAGCGTCAAAGTGAATCAGAGCGGATGAGCGTCAAAGTGAATCAGAGCGGATGAGCGTCAAAGTGAATCAGAGCGGATGAGCGTCAAAGTGAATCAGAGCGGATGAGCGTCAAAGTGAATCAGAGCGGATGAGCGTCAAAGTGAATCAGAGCGGATGAGCGTCAAAGTGAATCAGAGCGGATGAGCGTCAAAGTGAATCAGAGCGGATGAGCGTCAAAGTGAATCAGAGCGGATGAGCGTCAAAGTGAATCAGAGCGGATGAGCGTCAAAGTGAATCAGAGCGGATGAGCGTCAAAGTGAATCAGAGCGGATGAGCGTCAAAGTGAATCAGAGCGAATGAGCGTCAAAGTGAATCAGCGTGAAAGGGAATCAGCGTGAAAGGGAATCAGCGGATGAGCGTGAAAGTGAATGAACAACTGAGTGTAGGAGTGAACGAGCGAGGAGCAGACGAACGAACGGGCAGCTCATAGCGCCGTCGTGAAGTCCTCGTCTTGACTCCGTTTCGTCGGCGACGATGCAGCTGCTGCCGCCGGTGAAGAGGAGGAGGTGCTCCCAATCGATGCCGCTCCCTTGACCCCATCGCTGGGCTCGGTGGATGAGTAGTTTTCGTAGATCGGGGCGGTGGTGGCGCCGATGGGAGCGTAGCGTCCGGTGCGGTGTTCGGCAAGCCGGGGGCCCCAGCCCGGCTCGCTCCTGCAGATGGCTTTCAATCGCTGACATGCGCACACACAATAAAAAAAGATGCAAATAAGTATAACCCGTAAAAACAAAGTTTTTCACCATAAATCCTTTATATGCGTGGCGGCTAGAGTCCTCTCGTCCTCTGGCTTGAGATGGCTGCCACCTATGGGTCAGATGATTGCATTGCACCATTAAGCAATTGGTAATTAAATATAATATTTTTGTCCTAAAAAGTGTAAAATTTTGGAAAAACAATTTCACGAACATTAATTGTCACGCACAACGAGTCTGTGTGGAAAATGTCAGCTCGATTGGATCATGGGAAGTGGGTTAAAAAACGACCGAAAGATTTGCACGGTCCTAAGCAAGCAAGCAAACTTAATATAAAGGATTTAAAAATGATCCCGTGTAGACTCAGACTGTTGGGGCAAGTGCTGTTAGCGAGCGCCTACGAAAGACAGCACACGAGGGGGTGGGTGGCCAACACAACGCCCGGCCGCCTTTGTCTCCCCAGTGGCGATGTTTACACACCGCACCAGGTACTCATTTGGAGGCTGACCTACTGTTTCAAATAATCGTCATCGGTGTTGGCCGTGAGGATGAATCGAACCCTGGTCGACAGGTTCATAGCACCGCGCATCGCTAACCGCCAATGGCGGAGCCAGAAATTTCAGGTGGGGGGGGGGGGGGCAAGCGTCACCCCCACTGGCTCCACCAGTGCCAACCACTACACTACTGCTCCCCACACACACACGTATACGTGAGGGTATGTTAACACGCAGACATGCATAGCACGGTTGGCTACGTACAGTGAGAAAGAAGTTCACAGCATTTTCTGGGTCTCTACGAGTCTGTATAAAAACACGCGTTTAGGGAGAATTTATCCCTCGATAAATTTCCACACCACGACGGACAACGAGCCACCGCCCTTGCTTCCGCGAGAGCACGAGAGCGCGCAAGAGAGAGGTGGCAAAACACCGAGCGTAGAAGACCGCCAAAAAGCTCACAAACTGTCAGTTTGATAGCGTTTTGGTTTCTCATGTTAAATTATTGTACACAATTTTTCCACTTCCTGTACCTCCCAAGGCCCACCGCTGGCCCGCGCCATCTTCCAGGCGGCTATGACGGGGATCCACATGAGGCTGAAGGAGATCATGCACCAGCCGAGCGCCACTGCCCAGTCCGGGTAGACGACGTCGCCGTAGCTGGGAGTCGTGAAGGTCACCAGAGACCACACCAGGATGGCCTGCGTGGCGATGGGGGGGGGGGGGGGGGGGGGGGGGGGCGAGTAGGGGAGTGTTGTATAAGGCTCCGGGCAGAATGGTGGGTTGATTCTAGATTTGAAGCGTTCGTGACTGCAAGGATTCATACTCTTAGGTTATTTCGGTAAAGTCACGCAGGTAAAAAATTGAAATTTAAAATATTTTTTATTATATTTTTATTTTTTATTATTTTATTTTTTTAATTTCAATTTCATTTTTTACCTACGTGACTTTACCGAAAGAACTATGAGTATAATGGCACGGTCGGTGGGTTGGTGGGTGTATCGGTGGGTAGGCATGTCAGTCGGCGAGTGGGTGGGTCGGTGGATGAATTGGTTAGTGGGCGAGTCGGTGGGTGGGCGAGTCAGTATGTCGTTGGGTGGGTCAGTGTGTAAGTTGGTGGGTAGGTCTGGGTGGATTGGTGGGTTTATGCGTGTTGTGATGGGGGGGGGGGGGGGCGAGTAGGGGAGTGTTGTTTAAGGCTCCGGGCGGATTGTCGTTGGGGAATGGTTGGTTGCTTGCGTGTGTGGGGAGAGGCACGGTCGGTGGGTTGGTGGGTGTATTGGTGGGTGGGCAAGTCGATGGTGGGTGAATTGGTTAGTGGGCGAGTGGGTGGTCAAGTTGGGAGAGTGGGCGAGTCGGTAGGTGGGCGAGTCCGTGTGTCGTTGGGTGGGTCAGTGTGTAAGTTGGTGGGTAGGTCTCTGGGTGGATTGGTGGGTTTGTGTGTTGTGCATGTGTGTGTGTATGTGTGGCCGAGTCGACCTAGGGGAGGCCCGGGACCGGTTCAGATAATCGTCACTGGTGTTAGCCGTGAGCGGGAATCGAACCCGGGTCGCCGGGTTCATAGCGCAGCGCGCTAACCACTACACTACCGCTCCCCTAGGTCGACTCAGCCTCAAATGAGTACCTGGTGCGGTGTGTAAACATCGCCACTGGGGAGACAAAGGCGGTCGGGCGTGGTGCTGGCCACCCACCCCCTTGTGTACCGTTCCGGCCTTCATAGGTGCTCGCTAACAGCACTTGCCCCTACAGTCTGTTTAGGTTAGACGGGGGATCTTTGTCTTTGTGTGTGTGTGGGGGCGAGTGATGAGCGCTGTGCTGGTGGACTCACAATGAGCAGCAGGGGCGAGATGACGAACCAGCAGGCGCGCCACCAGAGCCAGAAGAGGAACGACTTCTTGCCGATCATCATCTCGATGTCGCTGATGAATCGATTCCCTCCTGGAGGGGAGGAAGATTTGGGGTGGCGGTGGGGAGGGTGTCAAGGGTTGGCTCTCATCTGGTGATGGGTCGCCATGACAAGGATGATGACGACGTTAACGGTGACAATTAGCTCCGACACCAACCAACAGGTAGGAGGGAGTGAGATGGAACAGATGGAGATTAGTCCACACACTCTGCTGTAGGAGGGAGCGAGATGGAACAGATGGAGATTAGTCCACACACTCTGCTGTAGGAGGGAGCGAGATGGAACAGATGGAGATTAGTCCACACACTCTGCTGTAGGAGGGAGCGAGATGGAACAGATGGAGATTAGTCCACACACTCTGCTGTAGGAGGGAGTGAGATGGAACAGATGGAGATTAGTCCACACTCTCTGCTGTAGGAGGGAGTGAGATGGAACAGATGGAGATTAGTCCACACACTCTGCTGTAGGAGGGAGTGAGATGGAACAGATGGAGATTAGTCCACACACTCTGCTGTAGGAGGGAGTGAGATGGAACAGATGGAGATTAGTCCACACTCTGCTGTAGGAGGGAGTGAGATGGCACAGATGGAGATTAGTCCACACATTCTGCTGTAGGAGGGAGTGAGATGGAACAGATGAGATTAGTCCACACACTCTGCTGTAGGAGGGAGCGAGATGGAACAGATGGAGATTAGTCCACACACTCTGCTGTAGGAGGGAGCGAGATGGAACAGATGGAGATTAGTCCACACACTCTGCTGTAGGAGGGAGCGAGATGGAACAGATGGAGATTAGTCCGCACACTCTGCTGTAGGAGGGAGCGAGATGGAACAGATGGAGATTAGTCCACACACTCTGCTGTAGGAGGGAGTGAGATGGAACAGATGGAGATTAGTCCACACACTCTGCTGTAGGAGGGAGTGAGATGGAACAGATGGAGATTAGTCCACACACTCTGCTGTAGGAGGGAGCGAGATGGAACAGATGGAGATTAGTCCACACACACTGCTGTAGGAGAGAGCGAGATGGAACAGATGGAGATTAGTCCACACACTCTGCTGTAGGAGGGAGCGAGATGGAACAGATGGAGATTAGTCCACACTCTCTGCTGTAGGAGGGAATGAGATGCAGCAGATGGAGATTAGTCCACACACTCTGCTGTAGGAGGGAGCGAGATGGAACAGATGGAGATTAGTCCACACTCTCTGCTGTAGGAGGGAATGAGATGCAGCAGATGGAGATTAGTCCACACACTCTGCTGTAGGAGGGAGCGAGATGGAACAGATGGAGATTAGTCCACACACTCTGCTGTAGGAGGGAGTGAGATGGCAGATGGAGATTAGTCCACACATTCTGCTGTAGGAGGGAGCGAGATGGAACAGATGGAGATTAGTCCACACACTCTGCTGTAGGAGGGAGCGAGATGGAACAGATGGAGATTAGTCCACACACACTGCTGTTGGAGTGAGCAAGAAGGAACAGATGGAGATTAGTCCACACACACTGCTGTTGGAGTGAGCAAGAAGGAACAGATGGAGCTTATATTCTTAGGTTTTTTTTTTTCGGTAAAGTCACGTAGGTAAAACATCAAAATTAATAAAAATAAAATAAAGATCACGACGTTTCGGAGGCAACACAAGTCTCCGTCATCAGGTGGGACCGTCACAGCCAGATTAGCGGCTTCAAGTGAGGCAAGGATTCAAGATGTAATCCCTTAAAAGCGAGTTGAGGGGAGGAGAGGGGGGGGGAGCTCATCAGAATGTGGTAGCCAATGAATGGAACGTATCGGGAGGGAGGGGGGCGGGGCCAAAAGGGTGGGCGACGGCGTGGAAGCGATTGTGTGCAAGAGACAAACTGCTGCACACGCCAACGCATTGGACAGAGAGGGGGGGGGAGGGGGAGGCCTGATACACATGATAGAAAAGAACGAAAATGCCCATGTTTATACCAATGCTGGCTGAACAATGAAGAGATTACTGTTAAACACTGGGGATGTAAACACTCGGTAAAGTAAAGTAGACTAGTGCCTGTCAGATAAGATGGTCCAAAAAAGTGTAATTAAGTCTTTTTTGCGTGGTTAATAATTTTGATGTTTTACCTACGTGACTTTACCGAAAAAAAAAACCTAAGAATATGAATCCTTGCAGTCACGAAAGCTTCAAATCTAGATGGAGCTTAGTCCACGCACTGCTGTAGAAGAGAGCGAGATGGAACAGATGGAGCTTAGTCCACACACTCTGCTGTAGAAGAGAGCGAGATGGAACAGATGGAGCTTAGTCCACACACTGCTGTAGAAGAGAGCGAGATGGAACAGATGGAGATTAGTCCACGCACCGTAGATCCAGTTGATGCCAATGAGCTCCAAGATAGCGGCGACCAGCAGAGCCCATCCGCTGCAGAAGTGGTCGATCAGATTCACCCAGTAGATGCCAGCCTGCAGGGGGCAGACACAGACAAAGTTCCCCCGTGTAGCCTGCAGCAGACCGCTGGGGCAAGTGCTTTTAAGGGCCGGGCCACTGTGGCACACGAGGGGAGTTGGGTGGCAGTTGGTCGTGAGCGGGGATCGAACTCGGGAGAGCGAGGGGGAGGGGGGAGCGAGGGGGGGGAGCGAGGGGGGGGCGAGTGGTGAGCGAGGGGTGAGTGGTGAGTGAGTCGCTCACCTGAGTGGTGCAGGTGAGACCGAGCAGGAAGAGGATGATGCAGAGTGAGAAGAGGAGTTGGAGCCGCCGCTTGCCAAACAATTTGGGGAACTCGTCCAGAAGAGCGGTGGTCACCGTCTCTGGATTCGTGAGGGCGACACGGGCAGTGTGAGCCTCCCACGGGAGAGACAGAGAGACACACACATACACAGGAGAGACACGGAGAGAGACAGACACAGATACACACGGAGACGCACAGAGAGACAGAAAGAGAGAGACACACAGAGAGACAGAGACACACACAGAGAGAGACAGACACACGGAGACACACACAGAGAGAGACAGACACACGGAGACACACACAGAGAGAGACAGACACACGGAGACACACACAGAGACACACACAGAGAGACAGACACACGGAGACACACACAGAGAGACAGACACACGGAGAGAGACAGATAGAGAGAGGTAGACGGAGAGAGAGAGACACACACACGGAGACACAGAGAGAGACCGAGAGAGACACACGGAGACACATAGACAGACGGAGAGAAACACACGGAGACACACGGAGAGTGTAACACGTAGGCTTTCGCGACCAGTGTTATTCATAATAAAGGCTTTTTGTGTTAGATCCCGTTATTATTCACAAATACGTCACGTTTACAAAACGCCAATTAGTTACTTCTTCAGCCCACCGGTGTGAAGAGTGGATCCACAACGTTTAGAATTTGAGTAGTTCGACGTTTCGCTGGTAACCACATACAGCATCTTCGGGCAATTTTGCCAGTACAGTGAAGACGTCCCACGTGCTTCCCGTCTTAAATAGTGCAGGATGACGTGCTGATCATTGTTGAACCCAATTACGTTTCGAGATCAGATGTGCGGGTGTAAGCAATTATGTAATAAATCAGTAATCAGCCACTTAGCATGCGACTCCTCTATGAGGAATTTCAATGTGTGTCGTGTGTTACTTAACGATTTGCTTCCAGACTGCGCTGAGTCTGTAGCTACCACAACGGTTGAAATGATTTGTATTTTTAAATCCTTTATATTAAGTTCGCTTGCTTGCTTAGGACCGTGCAAATATTTCGGTCGTTTTTTAACCCACTTCCCGTGATCCAATCGAGCTGACATTTTGCACACAGACTCGTTGTGCGTGACAATTAATGTTCGTGAAATTTTTTTTCCAAAATTTTACACTTTTTAGGACAAAAATATTATATTTAATTACCAATTGCTTAATGGTGCAATGCAATCATCTGACCCATAGGTGGCAGCCATCTCAAGCCAGAGGACGAGAGGACTCTAGCCGCCACGCATATAAAGGATTTATAGTGAAAAACTTTGTTTTTACGGGTTATACTTATTTTAAGGACTGTATACACAACTGCGCACAATTCTGAGTCACTTATAACCGCTTTGCCGTTACTTATTGCCAATTGTGGACTCACACTATTGTCCTATCATCTCGTAGAGTCCCTGGAACGTAACAATATGCTACACAGTGGCAGTGGGGGTCGCAAAATGCCGATTAATTACCAATAAACCCCAATGATCCGATCGAAATTAGAGATTTCGATCGGATCATTGGGGGGGCAGGTGCCACCCCCCCCCCCCCCCCACTGGCTCCACCAGTGCCCCCACCCCTCATCTCGAAACGTGCAGTTATCCTGCACTCTTTAAGACCCGAAGCATGTGGGACGTTTCCACTATTCTGGAAAAGCTCCCGAAGATGCTGGATGTGGTAACCAGCGAAACGTCGTACTACTCAAATTCTAAATGTTGTGCATCCACTCTTCACATCGGTGGGCTGAAGAAGTAACTCATTGGCGTTTTGTCAACGTGAGGCATTTTTTAATCTATTATATTAAGTTTACTTGCGTGCTTGCGTGATTGCTTGCTTGCTTAGGACCGTGCACATCTTTCGGTCGTTTTTTAACCCACTTCCCGTGATCCAATCGAGCTGACATTTTGCACACAGACTCGTTGTGCGTGACAATTTATTTTCGTGAAAATGTTTTTTCCAAAATTTTACACTGTTTAGGGAATTTTTTAAAAAATATTTAATTACCAATTGTTTAATGCTGCCAGACAATCATCTTACCCATAGGTGGCAACCATCTCAAGCCAGAGGACGAGAGGACTCTAGCCGCCACGCATATAAAGGATTTATAGTGAAAAACTTTGTTTTTACGGGTTAATTTTTTAAAAAATCCTTTATATTAAGTTCGCTTGCTTGCTTAGGACCGTGCACATCTTTCGGTCGTTTTTTAACCCACTTCCCGTGATCCAATCGAGCTGACATTTTGCACACAGACTCGTTGTGCGTGACAAAGCATTTTCGTGAAAATGTTTTTTCCAAAATTTTACACTATATAGGGAAAACAAATTAAATATTTAATTACCAATTGTTTAATGCTGCCAGACAATCATCTGACTCATAGGTGGCAGCCATCTCAAGCCAGAGGACGAGAGAACTCTAGCCGCCCCGATGCCACGCATATAGAGGATTTATAGTGAAAAACTTTGTTTTTACGGGTTAATTTTTTACTGATTGGCCGTGTCGGGTGGTGGAGGGTTGCGACACATTTATACTTGCGCGATCTAAACCAAAACGCCTTTATTATGAACAGAGAGGCACAGAGAGGCAGAGGGAGAGAGAGACACAGAGACACACGGAGAGGCAGAGAGAGACACAAAAGATAAAGATCCCCCGTATAGCCTTAACAGACTGTAGGGGCAAGTGCTGTTAGCGAGCACCTATGAAGGCCGGAACGGTGTACACGAGGGGGTGGGTGGCCAGCACCACGCCCGACCGCCTTTGTCTCCCCAGTGGCTATGTTTGCACACCGCACCGGGTACTCATTTAAGGCTGAGTCGACCTAGGGGAGGCCCAGGACCGGTTCAGATACTCTTCACTGGTGTTAGCCGTGAACGGGAATCGAACCCGGGTCGCCAGGTTCATAGCGCAGCGCGCTAACCGCTACACCACCGCTCCCCTTTAGACAGAGACACACAGACACACACACACAGAGACACACACACAGAGATCATGGTGGTGGTGGTGGTACCCACCGAGGATGGTGAACTGGCTGTCCAGGCCCAGCGTAAGCAGCATGAGGAAGAAGAGGATGGACCACAGAGGGGAGATGGGAAGCTGGGCCAGCGCCTCGGGGTACGCAATGAAGGCGAGTGCAAAGCCTACAGCCACATCATCATCAGCAGCATCAGTAGTAGCAGCATCATCATCATCAGTAGTAGTAGCATTAGCATCAGTAGAAGTAGCAACATCAGCAGCATCATCATCAGCAGCAGTGTCATCATTATCGTCAGTAGCAGTATCATAATCAGCAGCATCATAATCATCATCAGTAGTAGCAGTATCATCATCATCATCAGTAGTAGCAGCATCATCATCAGTCGTAGCATCATCATCAGTAGGAGTAGCAACATCAGCAGCATCATCATCAGCAGCAGTGTCATCATTATCGTCAGTAGCAGTATCATAATCAGCAGCATCATAATCATCATCATCAGTAGCAGTATCATCATCATCATCAGTAGTAGCAGCATCATCATCAGTCGTAGCATCATCATCAGTAGGAGTAGCAACATCAGCAGCATCATCATCAGCAGCAGTGTCATCATTATCGTCAGTAGCAGTATCATAATCAGCAGCATCATAATCATCATCATCAGTAGCAGTATCATCATCATCATCAGTAGTAGCAGCATCATCATCAGTCGTAGCATCATCATCAGTAGGAGTAGCAACATCAGCAGCATCATCAGCAGCAGCAGTGTCATAATTATCGTCAGTAGCAGTATCATAATCAGCAGCATCATAATCATCATCATCAGTAGCAGTATCATCATCATCATCTGTAGTAGCAGCATCATCATCAGTCGTAGCATCATCATCAGTAGGAGTAGCAACATCAGCAGTATCATCATCAGCAGCAGTGTCATCATTATCGTCAGTAGCAGTATCATAATCAGCAGCATCATAATCATCATCATCAGTAGCAGTATCATCATCATCATCAGTAGTAGCAGCATCATCATCAGTCGTAGCATCATCATCAGTAGGAGTAGCAACATCAGCAGCATCATCAGCAGCAGCAGTGTCATCATTATCGTCAGTAGCAGTATCATAATCAGCAGCATCATAATCATCATCATCAGTAGCAGTATCATCATCATCATCAGTAGTAGCAGCATCATCATCAGTCGTAGCATCATCATCAGTAGGAGTAGCAACATCAGCAGTATCATCATCAGCAGCAGTGTCATCATTATCGTCAGTAGCAGTATCATAATCAGCAGCATCATAATCATCATCATCATCAGTAGCAGTATCATCATCAGGCTCAGTCCTTCCGACAGGGTCACCGTGAAAGCTGAGTCCTCCCACAACCCTCCACCTCCGACCACATTCATCGCAATCATCAACAACATTGATTCTTCTTCTTGGTTCTTTCGGTAAAGTCACGTAGAATGGAAATAATAAAATAATACGAATAAAACATAATAAAATACAATTCTCACGACGTTTCGGCCACAACGCAAGCAGCCGTCCTCAGGTGAAGAACAGGTCTGTCGGAAAGACAGCGTCTGAATGAACACCACCAGGCTTGGCAGCGTATATGGCGGTGTTCATTCGGACGCTGTCTCCCCGACAGACCTGGTCTTCACCTGAGGACGGCTGCTTGCGTTGTGGCCGAAACGTCGTGAGAATTGTATTTTATTATGTTTTATTTTTATTATTTTATTATTTCCATTCTACGTGACTTTACTGAAAGAACCAAGAAGATGAATCCCTGCAGTCACGAAAGCTTTAAATCGAAACATTGATTCTGATGAGTTACACAGCAGGTTGTTGGTGTTGTTGTCATCCAGAGACCAGCACGCACCAAGAACAACCGCCATTCGCCACTTAGGTGGCGGTGACATCACCCACAGCACCTGTGCCATGCTAGGTGCACGTTAAGGCCACGTGAAGTGTCGAACGCCCGCTGGCAGGAGGTCACGGGGCAGACCCAGCAGGTGCCACGGGTCGACTGACTGAGATGACCGAGATGACTGGCTGATGCACCACCTGTGCCCCCTACTGTGCCAACTTGCTGTGCTTTAGCCACCCGGCGCTTCGCTCGTTGTTGTGAGCGTCGCTCCTCCGCCCTCCGTTGTTGTAGGAGGGCGACTGCCTCCAACTGCCCAGTAGCGTCCTTCACGAGCCTCCTCCACAGAGGCCGATCTTGACACCGCTGGTACCAGTCATCGGCAAGTCCACTCAGCTCCACGTCCTCCTGTACCACATCACTCCATCTCTTCTCTAGCCCGTGCCGCGCCCGTTTAGACCCTCGATCCGGCCGAACAAAAGCTGTTTAGGCATGCGGTGGCTGGGCATGCGGGCTACATGACCCAGCCAATGCAGCCTTGCCTGCCGGAGGAGCTCACTGATGGGACTTTGTCCAGATCTTTCAAGGATTTGTGAGCTCTTCACACAAGCCACATCCTGCAGGTTAATCCCAGGATGGAACATAGGGAGGACAGCCTAAATGTTTCTAACCGGCGAAGATGTTCCATTAGGGGGGTCCACGTTTCGAAAGGGTAGAGAAGGGAGGGCATGACCGTGGCCGAGAAGACCCGAAGCTTCGCGTGGAGCGACAGACCAGGTAGGTTCCACACAGCGTTAAGCAGCCGATGAAAAGATAATGTCGCTCGACTGATTCGGAGTGAGACCTCTGCTGTTGAACCGTAGCCGGTCATGAGCACACTGCCCAGGTATGGGAAACTCTCCACTCTCTCCACAAAATACCCAGGCAGGTGCTTAGTTTTGGTGGGGCTGATGGTCAGGCCCCAACTTTTAGTGGCACACTCCAGCTTTAGCAGCAGCGCCTCAAACTCCTCCTCTGAGTGAGCAGCAATTACCAGATCATCAGCAAAACATGACATGGTTGATCAATAGGAAGTCATCCCTCGACTGCACCCGGGCATCGGTCAGCCTCCCCTTGTATCTTTACCAAATGGAGATTACTCCCGTACATCCATGGAAGGCTTCACGAACTACCTCCCTCTCTTTCTCCCTCCCTCCCCCCTCTCCAATCCCTCCCTCCCTCCCTCTCCCCCCCCCCCAGCCCTTACCACACCACCCCCACCGCCAGCCTCACCTGCGTCGGCCACCTGTGACACGTGCCTCCCCGTGGTGTGCGCCATGTGGCCCAGGATGCTGAAGATGACGAAGCCGGCGAAGACGCTCGTGGCGCAGTTGGTGATGGTGACGACCAGCGCGTCCTGGAAGCAGTTGTTGTGGAACTTGTTGTAGGAGGTGAGCGCGATGAGGCCGCCCCATGCCGTAGAGAGCGAGAAGAAAATCTGTGTGGCCGCGTCCTTCCACACCTTGGCGGCGGCGGTGGTGGTGGTGGTGGGGATGAAGGAGGAGGGGGGGGAGGTTATAGTCCTAGATTTGAAGCTTTCGTGACTGCAAGGATTCATACTCTTAGTTCTTTCGGTGAAGTCACGTAGGTAAAAAATGAAATTAAAATTAAAAAAAATCACGATGTTTCGGAGGCAACACAAGCTTCCGTCTTCAAGTGAAACTGTCACAGTTTCACCTTCTTTGTTTTGTCGGTAAAGTCACGTAGAAGGGAAGTAATAAAATAATGAAAATGATAAAAATAAAAGAGTTTCACCTGTACTCTTAGATTTTTTCGGTAAAGTCACGTAGGTAAAAAAAATTAAATTAATAAAAGTTAAATAAATATCACTTGATACAGATATTTTGCTGTGTGTTGCCTCCGAAACGTCGTGATTTATATTTTTTATTTTTTATTAATTTCTAATTTTATTTTTTACCTACGTGACTTTACCGAAAGAACTAAGAGTAGGAGGTTATGGTCGTCGTGGTTATTGAGTGTCACTACCGCTAGGAGCCAGGAACTGGCCGTGATGGTCATGATGTCGACTGGTCCTTGCTGGTGACTGTGTCACCTGCAGGCTGAGCACTCAGGAGACGCGGACAGCCTCATTCCTCCCTCCCTCCTTTTATTTGTATATTTTTATTTTTTTATTTTTTTTGTTTATTTTTTTTTCATATTTAAAACGATCAGACGAGTAAGATGCTCAGTTTTTCGGCACTTTACTTCGTTCATCATGTCGTTTGTTTGTATTTTTTTTTCTATTTTTTTATGTGCTCCCTTTTTTAATCCAAGATATAGCGCGGGTTTCCCGTGTAACATTAGTCCCATTGTGTGTTACTGTGTTCATAGACACCAACAAGAAACACAAATCACCCTCAAAAAACCCATCACCAGATTCCCTGCTGCTGCGCTACCAGCATCATAGCGGCGAAGGCACTTGCCTCCCCTCCCTCCCCTCCCCTCTCTCCCCACCCTCATCCCCCTCCCTCCCTCCCTCCCTCCCCTCCCCTCCCCTCCCCTCCCCTCCCTCCCTCCACTCCCTCCCCCCCTCCCCCCCCTCCCTCCCTCCCCCCTCCCCCCCATCCCCTCCCTCCCCTCCCCTCCCTCCACTCCCTCCCTCCCTCTCCCTCCCTCCCCTCCCTCCCTCCACTCCCTCCCTCCCTCCCCCTCCCTCCCTCCCTCCCTCCCTCCCCTCCCCTCCCTCCCTCCCCCTCCCTCCCTCCCTCCCCTCCCCTCCCTCCACTGCCTCCCTCCCTCCCTCCCCTCCCCCCCTCCCTCCCCTCCCTCCCCTCCCTCCCCTCCCCCCCTCCCTCCCCTCCCTCCCTCCATCCTCCCCTCCCCCCCTCCCTCCCCTCCCTCCCTCCCTCCCTCCCTCCCCCCCCTCCCTCCCCTCCCTCCCCTCCCTCCCCTCCCTCCCTCCCTCCCCTCCCTCCCTCCCCTCCCCCCCCTCACTCCCCTCCCTCCCTCCCTCCCCCCCTCCCCCACCTCCGCCGATTGCAGCTTGGACAAGTCGGACTCGGCCCCGATGTAGAACTCGATGCCCAGCATGGCGCCGGGCAGAGTGACCCCGCGCACCAGAAGGATGAGCAGCACCACGTAGGGGAACGTGGCCGTGAAGTAGACCACCTGCAGGCGGGGGGGGAGGGGCAAAGGTCATATGGGTGAGGGGTCACCCCCCACACACCCCACACACCCCCCCTCCCCACCCCGTCAATGTTAAAGGGCCCTGTGGGCCCGTTAGGAGAGCAAAGTTCTGAGTTCTGAGTTCTGAGTGGCTGGCGAGAATGTTGACGACCTCTCCCGGCGTATGCGACGTCTGCGTGGGGGCTTCCTTCCCTCTCCCACCTCCCCGCCTCTTCTCCCCTCCCTCCTCCCTCCTCCACTCTCCACCCTCTCCACCCTCCCTCCCCCCATCTTCATCTCACCTCCCTCCCTCCCTCATCATCATCACCGTGGCTAGGAGATGTTGACTACCTCGCCTGGTATGCAGGAGGTCGTAGGTTCGATCCCGACCATGACAATGCCTGCTGCTGTGTCTCTCTCTCTCATCATCACCATCACGGTGGCTAGGAGATGTTGACTATCTCGCCTGGTATGCAGGAGGTCGTGGGTTCGATCCCGACCCTGACGATGCCTGCTGCTGTATATTTGGAGTTTGCGTGTCTCTCTCTCTCATCATCACCATCACGTTGGCTAGGAAATGTTAACTACCTCGCCTGGTATGCAGGAGGTCGTGGGTTCGATCCCGACCCTGACGATGCCTGCTGCTGTATACTTGGAGTTTGCGTGTTTCTCTCTCTCTCTCTCATCATCATTATCACGGTGGCTAGGAGATGTTGACTACCTCGCCTGGTATGCAGGAGGTCAAGGGTTCGATCCCGACCCTGACGATGCCTGCTGCTGTATATTTGGAGTTTGCCTGTTTCTCTCTCTCTCATCATCACCATCACGGTGGCTAGGAGATGTTAACTACCTCGCCTGGTACGCAGGAGGTCGTGGGTTCGATCCCGACCCTGACGATGCCTGCTGCTGTATACTTGGAGTTTGCGTGTCTCTCTCTCTCATCATCATTATCACGGGGGCTAGGAGATGTTAACTACCTCGCCTGGTGTACAGGAGATCGAGGATTCGATGCCGAACCCCTGACACCTGCGGAATATTTGGAGTTTATCGTGTATCTCACTCTCCTCGTGGGATCTTGCGGTGGGTTTTCCCTCCACAATCATAAGCAACGGCCACGCTTTTAGAATATTTGGCCGCTGTGAATTTCCACGTGGTAGTGATGATGATGATGATAAGCCACTTCGTGAGGCAATCATTTAGTGATAAGCCAGGGGTGGCTTCTTGATAAAATAGGAGCTAAGTATAAGCAGTGAGTAGCCAGCAGCAGATGCCGGAAATGTGGCACACACAGAGGGCATGCATGGGTGGCCAGAGGCACGCACGCCAAGGCACCAAAAAACTATCACACAGACCCATAGACTACTCGCAAGGAGACCCATAGATGCACATACAGACCCATAGACGACTCATGCAGAGACCCATAGACTACTCACACAGATACCCACAGACTCACACAGAGACCCGCAGACTCACGCAGAGACCCATAGACTCACACAGAGACCCGCAGACTCACACAGAGGCCCACAGACTCACACAGAGACCCACAGACTCACACAGAGACCCGCAGACTCACACAGAGACCCATAGACTCACACAGAGACCCGCAGACTCACACAGAGACCCGCAGACTCACACAGAGACCCATAGATTCACACAGAGACCCACAGACTCACACAGAGACCCGCAGACTCACACAGAGACCCATAGACTCACACAAAGTACCCATAGACTCACACAGAGACCCACACACTCACACAGAGACCCATAGACTCACACAAAGTACCCATAGACTCACACAGAGACCCACAGACTCACACAGAGACACGCAGACTCACACAGAGACCCATAGACTCACACAAAGTACCCATAGACTCACACAGAGACCCACAGACTCACACAGAGACCCACAAACTCATCACACACAAAGACCCAGAGACTCCTCATACAGATATCCACAGACTCTTCATACAGAGACCCACAGACTCACACAGAGACCCATAGACTCACAAAAAGTACCCATAGACTCACACAGGGACCCACAGACTCACAGAGACCCACAGACTCACACAGAGACACGCAGACTCACACAGAGACCCATAGACTCACACAAAGTACCCATAGACTCACACAGAGACCCACAGACTCACACAGAGACCCACAAACTCATCACACACAAAGACCCAGAGACTCCTCATACAGATATCCACAGACTCTTCATACAGAGACCCACAGACTCACACGGAGACCCACAGACTCACACAGAGACCCACAGACTCACACGGAGACCCACAGACTCACACAGACACCCACAGACTCCCCCAATGTCCATGTCCCACTGACCTTGCCGGATGAGCGAATGCCCTTAATGAGGGCGCCCCCGACGATGATCCAGGCGAGGAGTAGGGTAAGGGCGAGGTGCCACACCACGGGGCCCGTCTCGTCCATGGACGGGGAGCGTTGCAGGGCGTACTTACTGTGGGAGAGACGGACACGCGTGGCGGAGACACACATAGAGACACGTGGAGTTAAACAGAGACACGCGGAGTTACACAGAGAGACACGTGGAGACACACAGAAACACGCGGAGACACGCAGAGACACGTGGAGACACACAGAGACACGCGGAGACACGCAGAGACACGCGGAGTTACACAGAGAGACACGCCGAGACACACAGAGACACGCGGAAACACACAGAAACACGTGGAGACACGGAAAGAGACGTGGAGAGACACAGAGACACGCGGAGACACTCAGAGACACGTGGAGACACACAGAGACACGTGGAAACACACAGAGACACGTGGAAACACACATAGACACGTGGAGACACACAGAGACACGGGGAGACACACAGAGATACGTGGAGACACACAGAGACACGTGGAGACACACCGAGACACGTGGAGACACACAGAGACACGTGGGGACACACAGAAACACGTGGAGACACGGAAAGAGACGTGGAAAGACACAGAGACACGCATAGTGACACAGAGACACGCAGAGATACACAAAGAGACGCGGAGACCCGCGGAGATACACAGAGACACGTGGAGGCACGGAGAGACACGTGGAGACACACAGAGACACACAGAGACACACGGAGACACGTGGAAACACACAGAGACACGTGGAGACACACAGAGACACGTGGAGACACACAGACACGTGGGGACACACAGAAACCCGTGGAGACACGGAAAGAGACGTGGAAAGACACAGAGACACGCATAGTGACACAGAGACACGCAGAGATACACAAAGAGACGCGGAGACCCGCGGAGATACACAGAGACACGTGGAGGCACGGAGAGACACGTGGAGACACACAGAGACACACAGAGACACACGGAGACACGTGGAAACACACAGAGACACGTGGAGACACACAGAGACACGGGGAGACACACAGAGACACGTGGAGACACACAAAGACACGTGGAGACACGGAGAGAGACGTGGATACACACAGAGACACGTGGAGATACACGGAGACACGCAGAGATACACAAAGAGACGCGGAGACCCGCGGAGATACACAGAGACACGTGGAGGCACGGAGAGACACGTGGAGACACACAGCGACACACAGAGACACACGGAGACACGTGGAAACACACAGAGACACGTGGAGACACACAGAGACACGTGGAGACACACAGAGACACGTGGAGACACACAGACACGTGGGGACATACAGAAACACGTGGAGACACGGAAAGAGACGTGGAAAGACACAGAGACACGCATAGTGACACAGAGACACGCAGAGATACACAAAGAGACGCGGAGACCCGCGGAGATACACAGAGACACGTGGAGGCACGGAGAGACACGTGGAGACACACAGAGACACACAGAGACACACGGAGACACGTGGAAACACACAGAGACACGTGGAGACACACAGAGACACGGGGAGACACACAGAGACACGTGGAGACACACAAAGACACGTGGAGACACGGAGAGAGACGTGGATACACACAGAGACACGTGGAGATACACGGAGACACGCAGAGATACACAAAGAGACGCGGAGACCCGCGGAGACACACAGAGACACGTGGAGACACACAGAGACACACAGAGACACGTGGAGACACACAGACACACGTGGAGACACAGAGACACACAGAGACACGTGGAGACAAGCAGAGATACTTGGAGACACACAGAGACACGTGGAGAGACACAGAGACACGTGGAGACATACAGAGACACGTGGAGACACACAGAGACACATAGAGACACACAGAGACACGTGGAGACACACAGACACGTGGAGACACAGAGAGACACGTCTAGACACACAGAGACACATCGAGACATACAGAGACACGTGGAGACACACAGAGACACATAGAGACACACAGACACACAGAGACACACAGAGACACGTGGAGACACGCAGAGACACGTGGAGACACACAGAGACACGTGGAGACACAGAGACACGTGGAGACACACAGAGACACGTGGAGACACACAGAGGCACGTGGAGACACACAGAGACACGTGAAGACACACAGAGACACGCGTAGTGACACAGAGACACGCAGAGTTACGCAGAGAGACGCAGAGACCCGCGGAGACACCGGGGTGATGGGTGAGCGGTGTGCACTCACTTCCAGTACTGCTCGCTGGGCGACTGGGACGCGTTGCTGTTGTTGGCAGCGCTGCAGTTGGCCGGGGTGATGTTGCACTCTGGGGAGGGAGACAACAGCAACAGAGACAGCATCAGTAAGCAAGTATATTAGTCGATATTCTAGATTTGAAATTTTCGTGACTGCAAGCATCCATACTCTTTGGTTCTTTCGGTAAAGTCACGTAGGTGAAAATAAAATAAATGAAATTTTTTTAAAATAAAAATGTATTTAGTCTATATTAGTAAGTACTTAGTAAGTATATGATTCTATGTGTAGTGTCATCGCTAGATGTCACCATGCTGTAGGTGCAGTACCGGTCCTAGAGGGCGCGGTGTGTGTAGTGACATCGCTGGATGTCACCAGGCTGTAGGTGCAGTACCGGCCCTAGAGGGCACGGTGTGTGTAGTGACATCGCTAGATGTCACCAGGCTGTAGGTGCAGTACCGGCCCTATAGGGCATGGAGTGTGTGTAGTGACATCGCTGGATGTCACCAGGCTGTAGGTGCAGTACCGGCCCTATAGGGCATGGTGTGTGTAGTGACATCGCTGGATGTCACCAGGCTGTGGGTGCAGTACCGGCCCTAGAGGGCACGGTGTGTGTAGTGACATCGCTGGATGTCACCAGGCTGTGGGTGCAGTACCGGCCCTAGAGGGCACGGTGTGTGTAGTGACATCGCTGGATGTCACCAGGCTGTAGGTGCAGTACCGGCCCTATAGGGCATGGAGTGTGTGTAGTGACATCGCTGGATGTCACCATGCTGTAGGTGCAGTACCGGCCCTAGAGGGCGGAGTGTGTGTAGTGACATCGCTGGATGTCACCAGGCTGTGGGTGCAGTACCGGCCCTAGAGGGCACGATGTGTGTAGTGACATCGCTGGATGTCATCAGGCTGTAGGTGCAGTACCGGCCCTATAGGGCACGGTGTGTGTGGTGACATCGCTGGATGTCACCAGGCTGTAGGTGCAGTACCGGCCCTATAGGGCACGGTGTGTGTAGTGACATCGCTGGATGTCACCAGGCTGTAGGTGCAGTACCGGCCCTATAGGGCATGGAGTGTGTGTAGTGACATCGCTGGATGTCACCAGGCTGTGGGTGCAGTACCGGCCCTAGAGGGCACGATGTGTGTAGTGACATCGCTGGATGTCACCAGGCTGTAGGTGCAGTACCGGCCCTATAGGGCATGGTGTGTGTAGTGACATCGCTGGATGTCACCAGGCTGTAGGTGCAGTACCGGCCCTATAGGGCACGGTGTGTGTAGTGACATCGCTGGTTGTCACCAGGCTGTAGGTGCAGTACCGGCCCTATAGGGCATGGAGTGTGTGTAGTGACATCGCTGGATGTCACCAGGCTGTAGGTGCAGTACCGGCCCTATAGGGCATGGAGTGTGTGTAGTGACATCGCTGGTTGTCACCAGGCTGTAGGTGCAGTACCGGCCCTATAGGGCATGGAGTGTGTGTAGTGACATCGCTGGTTGTCACCAGGCTGTAGGTGCAGTACCGGCCCTATAGGGCATGGAGTGTGTGTAGTGACATCACTGGATGTCACCAGGCTGTGGGTGCAGTACCGGCCCTATAGGGCACGGTGTGTGTAGTGACATCGCTAGATGTCACCAGGCTGTGGGTGCAGTACCGGCCCTAGAGGGCACGGTGTGTGTAGTGACATCGCTGGATGTCACCAGGCTGTGGGTGCAGTACCGGCCCTATAGGGCACGGTGTGTGTAGTGACATCGCTGGATGTCACCAGGCTGTGGGTGCAGTACCGGCCCTAGAGGGCACGGTGTGTGTAGTGACATCGCTGGATGTCACCAGGCTGTGGGTGCAGTACCGGCCCTAGAGGGCATGGTGTGTGTAGTGACATCGCTGGATGTCACCAGGCTGTGGGTGCAGTACCGGCCCTAGAGGGCACGGTGTGTGTAGTGACATCGCTGGATGTCACCAGGCTGTAGGTGCAGTACCGGCCCTATAGGGCACGGTGTGTGTAGTGACATCACTGGATGTCACCAGGCTGTAGGTGCAGTACCGGCCCTAGAGGGTGGAATGTGTGTAGTGACATCGCTGGATGTCATCTCACCTGTACGCAAAAAGCACCGATCATCCACTCCCCACAACTCCCGGAACTTTCTCCACCATCTCCCCCCATCTCTCCCCATCTCCCAACCATCTTTCCCTCCATCTCCCAACCATCTCCCAACCATCTCCCCACCATCTCCCCGCCATCTCCCCACCATCTCCCCACCATCTCCCCAACCATCTCTCCCTCCATCTCCCAACCATCTCCCAACCATCTCCCCACCATCTCCCCAACCATCTCTCCCTCCATCTCCCAACCATCTCCCCCTATCATCTCCCCCCCATCTCCCCACCATCTCCCCACCATCTCTCCCTCCATCTCCCAACCATCTCCCCCTATCATCTCCCCCACATCTCCCAACCATCTCCCCAACCATCTCTCCCTCCATCTCCCAACCATCTTTCCCTCCATCTCCCAACCATCTCCCAACCATGTCCCCCATCTCTCCCCATCTCCCCCCATCTCTCCCCATCTCCCAACCATCTCTCAACCATCTCCCAACCATCTCCCCCCATCTCCGTTCCATCTCACTTTCACGCGCGAAGCACTGTTCGTCGGCTCCCCACCACTCCCGGCACTTTGCCCACGGCAGCTCGGAGGTGAAGCTTGCGAAGAGATAGAAGAGGCTGTAGGCGATGATGCAGTTGTAGTAGATGCCGACCAGGGCCGAGGTGATCACCATTGTCCAGCCCACGCCTGCAAAGCGTCAGGGCGGAGTGGTCGCAGAGGTCTTGAGGTCATCATCATCATCACGACCATCATCATCACGACGACTATTATCATCAGGACCATCATCATCATCACGACCATCATCAGCATCATCATAACGATCATCATCACGACAATCATCATCATCATCATCACGACCATCATCAGCATCATCATAACGATCATCATAACGACTATCATCATCATCATCACGACCATCATCAGCATCATCAGCAGTATCATCACGACGACTATCATCATCACGGCCATCATCATCATAACAATCATCATAACGACTATCATCATCATCACGACCATCATCAGCATCATCATAACGATCATCATAACGACTATCATCATCATCATCATCATCACGACCATCATCAGCATCATCAGCAGTATCATCACGACGACTATCATCATCACGGCCATCATCATCATAACGATCATCATAACGACTATCATCATCATCACGACCATCATCAGCATCATCATAACGATCATCATAACGACTATCATCATCATCATCACGACCATCATCAGCATCATCAGCAGTATCATCACGACGACTATCATCATCACGGCCATCATCATCATCACGACCATCATCATCACAACTATCATCATCATCACGACCATCATCAGCATCATCATAACGATCATCATCATCATCAAGACCATCATCATCATCACGACCATCATCAGCATCATCAGCAGTATCATCACGACGACTATCATCATCACGGCCATCATCATCATCATCACGACCATCATCAGCATCATCAGCAGTATCATCACGACGACTATCATCATCACGGCCATCATCATCATCACGACCATCATCATCACGACTATCATCATCACGACCATCATCAGCATCATCATAACGATCATCATCATCATCAAGACCATCATCATCATCACGACCATCATCAGCATCATCACCAGTATCATCACGACAACTATAATCATCACGACCATCATCATCATCACGACCATCATCATCACGACTATCATCATCATCACGACCATCATCAGCATCATCATAACGATCATCATCATCACGACCATCATCATCACGACCATCATTTTCATCAGCATCATAACGATCATCACCAGTATCATCATCACGACCATCATTATCATATCGATCATCATCAGCATTATCCACTCACTCACTCACTCAGCATTATCCACTCACTCACTCACTCACCCACTCACTCACTCACTCACCCACTCACTCACTGACTCACCCACCCACTCACCCACCCACTCACTCACTCACTCACCCACTCACTCACTCACCCACCCACTCACCCACTCACTCACTCACCCACTCACCCCCTCACTCTCCCACCCACCCACCCACCCACTCACCCACTCACTCACCCACTCCACTCGCCCACTCACTCACTCACCCACTCACTCACTCACTCACCCACCCTCTCACCCACTCACTCACTCACTCACTCACCCACTCACCCCCTTACTCTCCCACCCACCCACTCACCCACTCACTCACCCACCCACCCACTCACCCACTCACTCACCCACTCACTCACCTACTCACCCACTCACTCACCCACTCACCCCCTCACTCACCCACTCACCCCCTCACTCTCCCACCCACTCACCCACTCACCCACTCACTCACCCACTCTCCCCCTCACTCTCCCACCCACCCACCCACTCACCCACTCACTCACCTACTCACCCCACTCACTCACCCACTCACTCATCCACTCACTCATCCACTCACCCACTAACTCACCCACTCACTCACTCACCCACCCCTCTCTCCCCCTCTCTCCCCCTCTCTCTTCCCTCTCTCCCCCTCTCTCTCCCCTTTAACCCCCCCACTCTCTCCCACCCCTCCCCCCTCTCTCTTCCCTCTCTCTCCCATCTACCCCCCCCCCTCTCTGTTCCACCTCTCCCACCCACCCCTCTCCCCTCTCCCCCCCTCTCTCACCCCCCTCTCACCCCCCCTCTCCCCCCCACCCCTCTCCCCCCCCTCTCTCCCACCTCTCCCACCCACCCCTCTACCCTCTCCCCCCCCTCTCACCCCCCTCTCCCCCCCCCCCTCTCCCCTCTCCCCCCCTCTCCCTCCCACCCCTCTCCCCTCTCCCCCCCCTCTCTTCCACCTCTCCCACCACCCCTCTACCTCCCCTCTACCCCCCCCCCACCCTCTCTCCCACCTCTCCCTCTCACCCCTCTCCCCCCCCCTCTCCCCCCCTCTCCCCCCCCCTCTCCCCCCCCTCTCACCCACCTCTCCCTCCCACCCCTCTCCCCTCTCCCCCCCCTCTCCCTCCCACCCCTCTCCCCTCTCCCCCCCCCTCTCTCCCACCTCTCCCACCCACCCCTCTACCCCCCCTCTACCCCCCCCCCCCACCCTCTCTGCCACCTCTCCCTCTCCCCCCCCCCCTCTCACCCACCTCTCCCTCCCACCCCTCTCCCCTCTCCCCTCTCTCCACGCCGACACTGCCCCCCTTGTGTCGGCAGCCACCTGCAGCTACACCCCCCCCCCCCCCATGGCCTGGGACAGAGGGAGGGGCGGGATCGGTGTCATTCCATCGATTCGTTGACTCGAGTACCGCTCCATCTCCCTGACGACCATCACCACTTGGCAAGATAATCTCTCTCTGTGTGTGTCTCTGTGTGTGTCTCTCTGTGTGTGTCTCTCTGTGTGTGTCTCTCTGTGTGTGTGCCTCTCTCTGTGTGTGTCTCTCTCTGTGTCTCTCTCTGTGTGTCTCTCTGTGTCTCTCTCTATGTGTGTCTCTCTCTGTCTCTCTCTGTGTCTCTCTGTGTGTGTGTGTCTCTTTCTGTGTGTCTTTGTCTCTCTCTGTGTGTGTCTCTGTGTGTGTGTGTCTCTCTCTGTGTGTGTCTCTCTCTCTCTCTGTCTCTCTCTGTGTGTCTCTCTGTGTGTCTCTCTGTGTCTCTCTCTGTGTGTGTCTCTCTCTCTGTGTCTCTCTCCGTGTGTCTCTGTGTGTGTGTGTCTCTCTCTGTGTGTCTCTGTCTCTCTGTGTGTGTCTCTGTGTGTGTGTCTCTCTCCCTGTGTCTCTCTCTCTCTGTGTGTGTGTCTCTCTGTGTCTCTCTCTGTGTGTCTCTTTCTCTGTGTGTCTGTGTCTCTCCCTCTTTGTGTCTCTGTCTCTCTCTGTGTCTCTCTCTCTGTGTCTCTGTCTCTGTGTGTCTCTGTCTCTCTCTGTGTCTCTTTTTGTATCTCTATCTGTATCTCTCTATGTCTCTCTATCTGTATATCTCCATGTCTCTCTCTCCCTGTCTCTCTCTCCGTGTCTCTGTGTCTGTGTGTGTTTCTCTCTCTACGTCTCTCTCCCTGTGGGACGGGGGGGGGGGGGTAAGTGGGTGGATGGGTGGTTAAGTGGGTCGGTGGTTAAGTGGGTGGGTGGTAAGTGGGTGGGTGGTAAGTGGGTGGGTGGTAAGTGGGTGGTAAGTGGGTGGTAAGTTGGTGGGTGGGTGAGTGGGTAAGTGGGAGAGTGGGTTAGTGGCTGGGTGGTAAGTGGGTGGGTGGTAAGTTGGTAGGTGGTAAGTGGGTGGGTGGTAAGTGGGTGGGTGGTAAGTTGGTGGGTGGGTGAGTGGGTGGGTGGTAAGTGGGTGGGTGGTAAGTGGGTGGGTGGTAAGTTGGTAGGTGGTAAGTGGGTGGGTGGTAAGTGGGTGGGTGGTAAGTGGGTGGGTGGTAAATGGGTGGGTGGGTGAGTGGGTGGGTGGTAAGTTGGTGGGTGGGTGGGTGGTAAGTGGGTGGGTGGTAAATGGGTGGGTGAGTGGGTGGGTGGTAAGTTGGTGGGTGGGTGGTAAGTGGGTCGGTGTTAAGTGGGTGGGTGGTAAGTGGGTGGGTGGTAAGTGGGTTGGTGGTAAGTGGGTGGGTGAGTGGGTGGGTGGTAAGTGGGTGGGTGGTAAGTGGGTGAGTGGGTGGTAAGTTGGTGTCGGATGCGGCTTTTTCCCTGAGCCACCACCCTCGCGAACCTTTCACGATGGGCACCGACTTCCAGATGGTGATGGGTCCCATACTGGCGAACTGCCCGTAGGCGCACTCGAGGAAGAAGAGCGGCAGGCCCGCGAAGGCGAGCATCACCGTGTAGGGGATGAGGAACGCACCTGGAGAGGAGAGGAGAGGTGGGTCAGTGCGGTGGGGTCAGCGCAGTTAGCTGAACAAACATTCACGTTGGGCCTCGTACCTGGGAGGGAGGGAGGGAGGGGGGGGGGGGTCAGACATTTGTGACGATGTGTGACGAGGGGGGGGGGGGAGTGTTTGAGAAATGTGACGTCACATAAAAATGCATAACTTTAAATGAATATAGACAACACGTTCTACTAAATGAAATAGACTTTTTGATAAATGATCCTAGTAGCGGCTTTTCATCATCATCATCACGTGGTAACTTGTAGCAGCCAAACACTCCAAACGCGTGATTCTACAGACTCACAGAGACCCATAGACCCATCAAGACCAATACTCATAGACCAATACTCATAGAAACCCATAGACCCATCAAGACCCATACTCATAGAGACCCATAGACCCATCAAGACTCATACTCATAGAGACCCATAGACCCATCAAGACCCATTCTCATAGAGACCCATAGACCCATCAAGACCAATACTCATAGAGACCCATAGACCCATCAAGACCAATACTCATAGAGACCCATAGACCCATCAAGACCCATACTCATAGAGACCCATAGACCCATCAGGACCAATACTCATAGAGACCCATAGACCCATCAAGACCCATACTCATAGAGACCCATAGACCCATCAAGACCCATACTCATAGAGACCCATAGACCCATCAAGACCCATTCTCATAGAGACCCATAGACCCATCAAGACCAATACTTATAGAGACCCATAGACCCATCAAGACCAATACTCATAGAGACCCATAGACCTATCAAGACCCATACTCATAGAGACCCATAGACCCATCAAGACCCATACTCATAGAGACCCATAGACCCAAATAGATCCAGAGACCAATAGAGACCCATACTCATAGAGACCCATAGACCCACATAGATCCAGAGACTCATAGACTCATAGAGACCCATAGACAACACACATAACCAGAGACCCATAGAGACCCAAACTCATAGAGACCCATATACCCACATAGATCCAAAGACTCATAAAACCATACAGATCCATACTCATAGAGACCTATAGACCCACATAGATCCAGAGACCCATAGACCCATAGAGACCCATAGACCCATAGAGACGCATACTCATAGAGACCCATAGACCCATAGAGACCCATAGACCCATCGACCCATACAGACCCATACTCATAGAGACCCATAGACCCACATAGATCCAGAGACTCATAGACCCATAGAGACCCATAGACCCACATAGATCCAGAGACCCATAGGTCCATGGAGATCCATACTCACAGAGACCCATAGACCCAAAAAGACCCATACTCAGAGTCCCATAGATCCGTTCCGGTTGACTGTTGCAACGTATGATCTTGTGTTTTGATTTCGTGTGCTGATCTTTAAAGGTGCATTTAAAAAATGTTGATACTCCTACTGATGCTCCTGCTGTTGTGGAGTGACTCATGCAGTCAGCTATGGCTAGAGGGTTTGGTGGTACATGTTTTTCATGCCGTTTATTGTGAAATTTCGGTCACAGTTCCTATGAGTGCTGTTACATTGCTTTTATGGCTTTATTTTGGTGATTTCGAAAACTTTTTTTGGTTTGGCCATGTTTGTTTGTTGTAGTACGGAGTTAGAATGATGGCTTTAATCTAAGTTGTCTTGTGGTTGTTGTTGTTGTTTAACTTGCATCCCACTGGGATTTTTGCACAGCGTTGGTGCTTTTTTCTGGAAGACTTTGCAGTTTTTTCCTGGATTTTTCTGTTTGCGCATAGTCACTTTAAGATGTTTTCTTCTTCATGTTTTAGTTTTTTGTTCGTTGCGGTTGCACCCGATTCAAGAGCCGAATGGCTCACCAAATAGATGAAACTGAAAAACTCAAACTGAAATCCAGAGATCCATAGACCCATAGAGACCCATACTCACAGAGTCCCATACTCATAGAGACCCAGAGACCCACAGAGACCCATAGAATCTCACAGAGACCCAATAAACTAAAACTCTACTGTAGATTTATTTTGATAATTGTACAAGTGAAGGCGCCCCACTGAGCTACTATGTGGCGACTCATCATCATCATCACGTGGAGCTGGAGAGCGCTAGCGATTTTCCGAATATAGCAGCAGGCATCATAAGGGTCAGGATGGAACCCACGATGTCCTGCATACCAGGCGAGGGAGTGAACATCTCGTCACGGGAAGAAAGAGAGAGACGCAGACTCCGAATATAGCAGCAGGCATCGTCATAAGGATCAGGATGGAACCCACGATGTCCTGAATTCCAGGCGAGGGAGTGAACATCTCGTCACGGGAAGAGAGAGAAAGAGAGACGCAGAATATACAGCAGCAGGCATCATGAGGGTCAGGATGGAACCCACGACCTCCTGCATAGCAGGCGAGGACGTTTACGAGGCATGAGGTGTGCCGGCCTTGACGAACCCCACTCACTCCCTCCCCACCAACCCCCCACACCTCCCCACCAACCCCCCCCCCTCTCTCCCCACCATCCCCCCCCTCTCTCCCCACCACTCCCCCTCCCTCCCCACCAACCCCCAAACACCCTCTCCCCCCACCAACCCCCCACACCCTCCCCACTAACCCCCCTCTCTCCCCACCAACCCCCCACACCCTCCCCACTAACCCCCCACACCCTCCCCACTAACCCCCCTCTCTCCCCACCATCCCCCCCCCTCTCTCCCCACCACCCCCCCTCCCTCCCCACCAACCCCCAAACACCCTCTCCCCCCACCAACCCCCCACACCCTCCCCACTAACCCCCCTCTCTCCCCACCAACCCCCCACACCCTCCCCACTAACCCCCCACACCCTCCCCACTAACCCCCCTCTCTCCCCACCATCCCCCCCCCCTCTCTCCCCACCACCCCCCCTCCCTCCCCACCAACCCCCAAACACCCTCTCCCCCCACCAACCCCCCACACCCTCCCCACTAACCCCCCTCTCTCCCCACCAACCCCCCACACCCTCCCCACTAACCCCCCACACCCTCCCCACACCCTCCCCACTAACCCCCCTCTCTCCCCACCACCACCCCCTCTCCCTTCCCTCCCCACCAACCCCCCCTCTCCCCCCACCAACCACCCCCCACCTCTCTCCCCACCAACCCCCTCCCTCTCTCCCCACCAACCCCCCCCCCTCTCCCCCCACCATGCTAATGAGGCCATTCACATTCTTGTCGCCACTCAGGGACATCGTGTTCATTGAACCGCGACCTTCGGGGTGAACTCATTAACCCTCAGCAGGAGCCTGGGCCGAACCTCCATCTGTTCCATCTCACTCCCTCCTACAGCAGAGTATGTGGACTAATCTCCATCTGTTCCATATCTCCCGTGTGTGGACTAATCTCTATCTGTTCCATCTCACTCCCTCCTACAGCAGTGTGAGTGGACTAATCTCTATCTGTTCCATCTCACTCCCTCCTACAACAGTGTGAGTGGACTAATCTCCATCTGTTCCATCTCTCCCGTGTGTGGACTAATCTCCATCTGTTCCATCTCACTCCCTCCTACAGCAGTGTGTGTGGACTAATCTCCATCTGTTCCATCTCACTCCCTCCTACAGCAGAGTGTGTGGACTAATCTCCATCTGTTGCATCTCACTCCCTCCTACACCAGAGTATGTGGACTAATCTCCATCTGTTCCATCTCTCCCGTGTGTGGACTAATCTCCATCTGTTCCATCTCACTCCCTCCTACAGCAGAGTATGTGGACTAATCTCCATCTGTTGCATCTCACTCCCTCCTACACCAGAGTATGTGGACTAATCTCCATCTGTTCCATCTCTCCCGTGTGTGGACTAATCTCCATCTGTTCCATTTCGCTCCCTCCTACAGCAGAGTGTGTGGACTAATCTCCATCTGTTCCATCTCACTCCCTCCTACAGCAGAGTGTGTGGACTAATCTCCATCTGTTCCATCTCACTCCCTCCTACAGCAGAGTGTGTGGACTAATCTCCATCTGTTCCATCTCACTCCCTCCTACAGCAGAGTGTGTGGACTAATCTCCATCTGTTCCATCTCACTCCCTCCTACAGCAGAGTATGTGGACTAATCTCCATCTGTTCCATCTCACTCCCTCCTACAGCAGAGTGTGTGGACTAATCTCCATCTGTTCAATCTCACTCCCTCCTACAGCAGTGTGAGTGGACTAATCTCCATCTGTTCCATCTCACTCCCTCCTGCAGCAGAGTGTGTGGACTAATCTCCATCTGTTCCATCTCACTCATACAGCAGTGTGGACTAATCTCCATCTGTTCCATCTCACTCCCTCCTACAGCAGAGTGTGTGGACTAATCTCCATCTGTTCCATCTCGCTCCCTCCTACAGCAGAGTGTGTGGACTAAGCTCCATCTGTTCCATCTCACTCCCTCCTACAGCAGAGAGTGTGGACTAAGCTCCATCTGTTCCTTCTCACTCCCTTCTACAGCAGAGTGTGTGGACTAATCTCCATCTGTTCCATCTAACTCCCTGCTCACCCGTGTGTGGACTAATCTCCATCTGTTCCAACTCACAGGGTCGGGATTGAATACACGACCTCCTGTACACCAGGCGAGGTAGTCAACATCTCACCACGCGGAGAGACACGCAAACTCCAAATGTACAGCAGGCATCGTCAGGGTCGAGGTCGAACCCACGACCTCCTGTACACCAGGCGAGGCAGTTAACATCTCACCATGGGGAGAGAGAGACACGCAAACTCCAAATATACAGCTAGCGTTAGGGTCGGGATTGAACCCACGACCTCCTGTATACCAGGCGAGGTAGTCAACATCTCACCACGGGGAGAGAGAGACACGCAAACTCCAAATGTACAGCAGGCATCGTCAGGGTCGAGGTCGAACCCACGACCTCCTGTATACCAGGCGAGGTAGTCAACATCTCACCACGGGGAGACACACGCAAACTCCAAATGTACAGCAGGCATCGTCAGGGTCGAGGTCGAACCCACGACCTCCTGTATACCAGGCGAGGTAGTC